TATATATATATATATATATATATTCACGTTATATATATATATATAACGTGAATAGTATGAATGTGCAATGTATGCAAGGTTTGTGTGTCATATACGTGCAAAAATTTGTAAACAATTTAGCTGCACACGTTTTGTACAGTAAGATTTATTTTTGTTAAACGAATCAGATTATAGTTTACATGATACGACACACTTGATGTGAACACTTCCACGACATTGTATCGTCTCTATGATCTGAAAACTATCGAAGATTTAACATGTATTCGAGATTTATAAATTCTTGATATGGTTAATTTCTAAAACGGTTTCTTCGGTGTATAATAAGTTTTGACATAACAAAATTATAATCGCATTTTGTTCTTTACGAAAGTAAGGCAGAGGGGGATTATTTTTACACATTAAAAATACAAAACAATAGTAAGCTAAAGTGACGCTTAAGATATAATCGCGGGAATATAATTTTGTTCCCAGAGCGCGTGGAAATCTTAGAATTTTCATTCTGCTTGGTCACGTACACACGATACAGTAGTTACATTTTCCTTGTATCTCACAGTTTTACGTGTATGATACTACATTATGTGTATTAATTATATTATTCATTATATTAATGAAATATAGTTGTGAAGAACTACTTATATACAATCTTTCTCTATGCGGTTTAATAAAAAAGAAACATCAAGTGAAGGTTACACAATTTATATTTTCTTGGACGTTTACACATTCTTGCACGATCAATAACCAGCGTAATGCCGTAATCTGAACAACAACGCAGTACCGGTCTTGTTCGAAATTGAGAGGTAGCCGCTTCCGGGGGAAAAATCCATCGCCTGCGGCATACCTATATTCGTCTGAAATCCTGGGAAATTCGCGAATACACTTAACGAGGGTAGATGCATCATCTTGAAGGCGTTGTACTTCTTGTCCGATGCCGCAGCCAATATCTCGCAGGTGGGGTTAAATCTCAAGCTTGTAATGCAGGTAACAAGGTTCATCATAGATTTCACGGGTGTAGGGTTTTGCTTGTGCAACACCGTTTTCGTCTCATAGAGATTCACAACACCCTGCGCGCTACCTGCTGCTAAATACTGGCCGTTCGAGGATATGGCGAGTGCGGTGCCGGATAAACATCCGTCGTCAATGGCACGATGGATGCATCTACGACCACCGAGATCCCATATGTACATTTCGCCGCCGTCTGCACGATGATAAGACAGAATTCAATACGGATATTCCAAAATATTATATCAGAAGTTGTGTTTTAAGTTAAAACTGGATAACTCTGTACTTACCACCGTATGTGATGAGATTTTTATTATCCGGTGTGAATACCAGTGCTCGACATTTCGAATTCATGTTGAATCTCCAGATCAGCTCTTTCGTTTGGCTGTGCAGTAAGAAAATTTCACCCCTTCTTCCGCATAACGCTATGAAGTCACCGTTAGGAGATACTTCGAATAACTGCAAACATGAGTAATTTTAATTAATCTATAATATTTATTATTTCTAGTATAATCACGGTCGTATGAACCTCCATATTCGTAATTCCATGTGGCAAAGGAAAGCAGTCCGCCTGGTCGGTCGGTAAATGGTAAGTAAAACCATAATCATGATATTTGGAACCACACAAAACCTCTGTTCCGTTTTTCAAGAAGGTTGCCTTGCTGATCGGGAAACTAACATCATACTTCCACCATACGTGGAACTTGTTAGGGTTTGTATGCCCATCGACCTGAAAAAACAGCAATTTATGTGTCAGAGATAATTATTAATGAATAAATAATTAATCTGATCTTCACTTTCAATCCATGGAATAAATTTATACAATCCAAATACCTGATATATCGCAAACATGCCTTTTGTACTAGCGATCAGACCAAATTGTATCGTTGGATGGAATTCCACGCTCGTGATAACATGACCTTCTACACGAGTGCTATTATTCAGAGATTTGAGCGCTTTGATGTCGATCATATCCTTGGGTAAGCGTTGAGGTTTCGATTTTTCAGCCAAAAATCGACAATGCTACATAGAAACAGAAAAAGATAATTAAGAGTTCAGTTCACGAGAAATTGTGAGAAAATTTGAAGAATTTGCCCAAATACCTTCGTGACATCTGAATCGTCATTGGTTTCATCAGTTGTCTTTAGTTCAGCCCATTTTGGAGTACCGACAAATATTTTGTAGTGATTCTTCAAGTATGTTGAATATGACTTCTCTGGCTGCTCGCATGCTAACCTGCGATTCTGTGCATCTAGGGCTGTATTTACTCTGTCAAAAAATATATATAAAAGAATACATCTATTTAGAATATATATATTATAAAGGATTATATCATTGAATAAATTCTTGTAACAAAAGTAATATTTGTTCTTCTCATGCTTACGTATAATTATAATCATCATCGTCCCTCCAAGCTGCTTGCTTTTCTTCTTGACTCGCATCTTCGGTATCCTTTACCACAGAAGAATCGTCATCGCAGTTTGTGTTGATTTTCTTATTATTCATCAGTTTTCCATGATCAGTAAGTTCATCACTAGATTCATCATGCTTTGCTTTCGTCGCGGGTTTCTTATTCAGCAAATCGTTTATGAAAAAATTGGGACCGCCAAAAACTTTACTTTCCAATCTGCGCATAAAATACATTGTATAACCTCGAAAAACTCACCAGGGTGGTTATGCAATTATTTAATTCTCACAAGTACATACCTAGCTTCCTCTTCAGGATCATATGCATTTTTTCGTTTTCTCTTCATAGGACTTGAGAACTTTCTATTGTACAAAATTTTCGAATGTTTCTGCTTCGCTGTGTCGTGAAATTATATAAATGTTAACATTTTAACAATATTAAGTGACTGTAAAAGCCACAAGAATAGTCATTAAATTAATACGTCATTAAATTAATTGTTATATCGCATGCGATACAATAATTAATTGTAACAAATAATAAAATAATAAAACAGTTAATACATATCAAATACCTTCCATGGCTCAAGATGTTTTGTCACGTTTCGTCACGTTTCTGTGTTCCGAACGAAATCTGAAAAGTCCCTACCGAAGTACTACTAGAAAAATAAATGGTGCCAACTGTAAAAATGTTGCTGATCATGGAGTGACATAGAACGACGACCCAGTCGAACACAGCATTTTAGCTGTGTTCGATTATATCGGTTTGTGTCACCAAATAGAAAGCACCAAATAAAAAGTGTAGGTTTTAGTTAATTAATCATAATAAAGAAATCTTTGCTTTTTTATTCCGATTGATTCATTAAATCAATTAAATTAATCAATACTCTACCCGTAGAGTTTTCGAACGCAGCCCGACTGTGATTGATCAATTTCTTGCGACTTTACGATAATGCTGTGGCGGCTATACTTTGTCTCGCTTGCATGCGAGCTCGCCCCCCACCACTCCGCCGGCGAGCTAGTCTTTTGTCGCTGTACGGCAGTAAAACAGTGGAGACTAGCCCGCCGTTAGAGTTGTATCGTTATAGTGTTTCTCTACGCAATAAAAGAGTCTTTCTTATTTTTTGTGCCGAGTACTCAGTGGGCACATGCCTTGATTCTTCCCGGGCTATCCCTTCTAATCTCCACACTGGTGACCCCTCAGTCAGCTAAAAAAAGCATTTTTTTCCGCTGATACACGCAACCTCAGTGCGCATTGTGTGTCTCGCGTTCGGCGGTGCCTAACAATAGAAAAGCGTTCTTTTCGCCGCGGTCGTGAACGCTCGTGAACTCTCGCACGTCTCTCACGCGCTTTGCGTGCATACTCTTGCACATTTCGGCTTAGATACGAGAGTTCACTAACGTTCAATCGGTTAATTAGTTTCCCAAAAACAATTAAAAATGTAGTATGACACAACAATAAACAAGACATACTTTTTTAAAATACGAATTAAGATAGCAATTCGAACGGTCTTTTATTCTTAGATAATGATACACAAAAAAGTATCTCAATTCGTTTAATTAATATTAATATATAATGTACACCGAAAGTTTTGAACATTTCGAGTATTAAGATGCATTGAACAAAGCATATGAAAACTTATTTATTTAAAATATAGGAAAAGAATAACATATTTGAGTTTTCCATTAATTTGGTGATGCATTTTATATCATACTGATTGTTTTCTGTATGTGATTACAACCGAAACTTACCTGATTAAGTTTTATATTATTAAATATAGGAATGAAATTAAGATTTTTCATCCAGAGGATACAACAATATATATATAAGCAAGGATAAAGGGAAAGTCTTGGAATCTGTCCCCGACAAGAAAGAAAAATAAAAGTAGGTATCATCTTGTTTTTCTCCTGCAATTCTTTCCCACAGTTCCCACCACCTTTTCACCGAGGTAGAATCTATTTCATTTTCACGAGACACCCTGTATTATTTTCATCTAACGCAAATGTGATATTTCATATATGTCTTCTTGCATCGTCGCATATCTCGCGGATATTTTCCCCTGAAAAAAAAAAAAAAAGGAATCCCTCGTTAGAGAATACGTGTAGTAACTCTAATCATAATCATTATCCTTGCATATATATATATTATGTATAATATATACATAATATATATTCTATTAAAACAATTTAAAAAACGTCGGCTAGATTAGAGAGAAGTGTGCAATCAAAAAATAAGTATTGTGATCTCCGGGCCATACTATAGTGACAAATGACAAAACATTGTTTTTCCTCAAAGATAGCTTAATATTATATACAATATATAAGTTTTTAGAGACTCACAGCCGTCTTTTCTTGCTGTCTTTTTTTTCTTTTGTAATTGTAATCTTCTTTGGTAATTGTATACAGCATATGCACTTTCCCGTTGTACGATCTGTTCAAGTTTTGTAATGTCTTTATTAGAAGTAGTAGTAGTATCAATAGCAAAAACCAAATGTATATCCGCTCAGTACAAAAGAATAAAAAATTTGTCTCGCCCAAAACGCCTTGTCATTCAAATTCCGACATATAATATTAGGATACTTCCATCGCAATATTATAATAGAAAATCCTTATAACAGTGCAGCTAATTACCATTAGAACGCTTATCTAGGATACTTGTGTCACGCAAAAGGACTGATTATCTTCAGCGTATGGAATTACACCGATCAACCGATGCGATATTTTGATCGTGTACAAGAAAGTCTTGGAATCTGTCCCCGACAAGAAAGAAAAATAAAAGTAGGTATCATCTTGTTTTTCTCCTGCAATTCTTTCCCACAGTTCCCACCACCTTTTCACCGAGGTAGAATCTATTTCATTTTCACGAGACACCCTGTATTATTTTCATCTAACGCAAATGTGATATTTCATATGTGTCTTCTTGCATCGTCGCATATCTCGCGGATATTTTCCCCTGAAAAAAAAAAAAAAGGAATCCCTCGTTAGAGAATACGTGTAGTAACTCTAATCATAATCATTATCCTTGCGTATCTATGCTAAAGCGCATATGTTACAAACTACAAAAGGACCGTGTGATATAATTCTAAATGAACACACGCAGTGTGTCTTTTGATTCTGCTTTCCGTGAAACGTTTCAATGGCGATGGCGCGACGGTACAGTTTCTAATATATCTCCGCCATAAGCAGCACAACCAAGGAAGTCCAGCCGCTGAAAGGATGGCTGCCCTTGCCCGCCCCTACATCGTTGTCGTAATTCTCCCAGAGGTAGCCGCTCCTCCTGTACTGATTCATTATATTCTGTATCAGATTCCGGCGCAGCTCATCGTACACCGTTCTCGCGTCCTCCCGGTACGGGCCCTCCACGTTGGAATAATGATAGGCGGCCCGCACCGCCAGGTAGTTAAGGTTTACCCAGATGGGGCCGCGCCAGTAGGGCGCGTCGTGCTCCGTGTTGTACTTCATGTAGAGCGGCGAGGTCTTGGCGAGCGAGCGCAGCCCGTACTTGGTCCACAGGAGGTCAGGGTCACGCAGATCCCGCAGTATCTTGGCGAGTTGCGGCGAGTCGGGCTCGACGATTTGCAGGATGAACGGGAACAACGACACGTAGCCGAAGGTCGTGTCGACGAATCTCAGGGTTGGATTCTCCAGCACGACGCGAAGCATCCCCGACGGTTGAGCGCGTTGCGTGCGCTGCGTGTGCGAGGCCGGTGCGGGTTTCCTCAGCGCCACTTTGTCGGTGTGCAAGCCGAAGTCGGCGTAGGCTCGCGTGTCCGGCGACCAGTGCAGCTTGTTGAGCAGCTCGTTGTCGGACAGGTACTGCGACGTTTCCCGGTACTTGTTGCCGGGATAATTCAACGTTTCGGCGATCTTGGCCATGACGCGAGCGGCGAAGGCGATCCAGCAACGCAGGTCGACGTGACGCTCGTCATCGTTCGGATGCGAGGCCCTCGGGTAGTCGTCCAAGCCGGAGGTCAACGTTTTAGGGTTCAGCTCGCGAGTAGCGGACGCATCTCTGCCTCGCCACCTGTACGTGCCGGGCAGATCGCCGACCTGGGTGGTGTTGAACCAGGCGAACCAGGCCTCGAGCCGCGGGTACAGCTTGTCGAGCACCTGGAAGTGCTTCTCCGACAGCTCGTGCTCCTTGTGCTGAAGTATGAAGTCTAAGGTCAGGAAGAACGTCGGCGGATTCGCGTTTGTATTGATCTGCGTGACGAACTCCTCGGGCACTTTAGCGAGCGCCTCTTGGCCGAGGATCATCTCGCGGGGTATCCAACCTTCGACGTTCATCAGGTCGAACCAATGGCACGCGATGTCCAGCTCAATCTCCATGTCCCAGACGGAGATGAGCAAGCCGTGGAAACCCTCGTCCCAGAGGAAACCCCGCGGGAAGAAGCTCCTGCTGGGCACGGCGGTATATAAAGGCGCTTTCCAGTAAGGCACGGGTCCCTTGTTATGTACACTCTGCACCTGCGACACCCCGTAGAAGTAGCCCACCGAGCCCAGCAGATTCGAGAACGCCATCTTCGCGAACGTCACCTCGTTCTCTGTGTATCCCTTGGACTTGAGCTTGAAGACGCTCTCGAACTTGTCGGCGAACAGCCGCCGTTGCCTCTCGAGGGCCTCGTCGTAGTTCTCGCCCGTTAACTTGTGTATTCTGGTGCCGAAGCTGCCGGATTCGTAGCTCACTTCGATCTCGAAGGGGATCCTGCCCGTCACCTGGGTGACGATGAAATTCGGATCGATCTTCTTGCCGTCGTTCGACAGAGGCAACTGCTCGCCGGCCAAGACTATGCGTTTCTTCGCGGACCCCTTCTGACTCGCCAGCCGGAGGTTGCAGAGAACATTTTCCCTCAGCACGTTCAAGCCGGAGGCAGCCGTCGCGAGAAAAGAATGCTCCTCCACGGTGCCGTGGATCACATTTAAATTGATGACAAAAGACCCCAAACCTTGGGTGTTTCCCTCTATTCCCGTGAGGTGATTATCGTCCCCTAGATTAGCCTTTATCCAGCCCTTCGTGTCTTCCTCGATGGCAGTGTAGAACAGCAGTGACACTTCTTCCCCCTCGTGCTTGTTCGACACCGCGATTCTCGCGGTCCAATCGCCGCCGTGATACCCGCCGAGTCTCTTCACAAACGTTGTTCTAATAGTCGAGTGATTGTCCACTATCTCTTGGACGCCAAATGTCCTACCGTCGTGTTCCAGCCACGCGTATCTGACGAGAAACAATTTGGACGATGGAAGTTCGAGACATACATATTAAGCATCTTTGAAAGGATTTCTCTTCCCTCGGAAGAGTTTGAGTAACAGGGAAGTAAGGAAACTTTGATTTAACAGTACCTGTTCAGTCCATCACCCTGCTCACACCAGTGTCTCAATCCATTACCATCGGGAAGTAGAAGACGCGGGAAGTACCACATCAAACCAGTTACCAAAGAATGTGGATCTCTTGTCTTTAAGCCGAAATAAACACCGGGTCTGTACGTGCCCCAATATCTGTCTGGGTAAGCCAAACCAGATGCAGTAACTAGCTACAATTTTCAAATAAAATAATTATTAGTAGTCTCTTAAGATTTGAGATCAATGTTTAATTTTACATGCCCTATATAATCATAATTACCTATATATTATTTGTAACAATCTATATATATATATATATATGTTACGTAATTTGTAAATATATATACAGAAAGATATACCTTTTCTACATTGAATGGAGTATTGACTCTTGTTTCGAGGTATCCTTTGTATCCAAACCAAGAAGCAACGGCGATACATAGAGCAGTGACTATAGCATTTGTGGATAACATATTTTTATTTGGCTTAGGTGCATTTATATGCACAGATTTGACTCTAGTTTTAGCAGTTTTTGCCTCCTGAGCTTTGTTCTTTGCCATATTAATTGTACTGAAATAAAAAGGGTCAGAATCATATAATAATATAAAATATAAATTCAAGAATATATATAAAGTAAGATCAAATACATAAAAGTAAAACTGGTGCTTCTAAGGTGCTCTTAGAAAATAGTTCAATCAAGGCAATCACAACCAATGTCATTAAAGACACGAAAATATTCAGAAGTGATTAGTGTTTAAAAATAAATCACCTGTACTCAGATCTTGTTGATAAGAAACTCGACTAATTCTTTGACTATAATTTAAAAAATAACTCATATTATTAACGAAATAAATGTTGTATGGTAAAATAAAGTACGAAATGTAACTCTGTAGTGTTTAAAATACGCAGAGATCATCGTGCTCTCTCCAACATACAAACGTATGATACATGTCGATTTAGGTTATATCCTTGGTTAGAGTAAACTGTTCGTCTGCTTGTAAAAATCTTACGTTAATTACAGGATATCCCTTATATTCATCAAGTGGTATATATATACATCACAGCCACGAATGTTATTATTTACAACTAACGTTCTCTTAGCTAACGTAAAAGTTCACAACAATATACCGGCGTTACACACCGGCGATGTCACTCTGTCACACTCTGTCGAGTGCAAATACAACCGACATTTCAATGATGGCGGGTCGGCCCTCCTCCACGTACGCGCGCCAAGTGTTCCCTCAAGGAAGTACATAGTCTAAAAATAAAATGTGCAACAATTTTGCAGAGCTCGGCGAAGATCCGATTTAAATTGGTTCGAGGTTGACAGGTAAATAGATGTGAGTTAAAATTATAATATATGACTCATATTTTTTTATTATTATTTTTTTTAATATATCGATTAACAACGGATTCCGTTATTGATAACGGAGTAATCGAGAAGATAATTGAGAAAATGAGGAATTTCTAACTTAGACAGTTGAATTCGCCAAAGTTGTTCCATCCTTTTTTCTCCTACTTCCTTGAGAGAACGCATTCTGTGCGCACGCGCAGGAATACTGGCGGGTTTTCAGGTCACTCTACAATCGTTGCTCGATTCCCGTTGCCTAATTCTTTATCCAGTGACGCGGACAGTCTTCGTCGAATTTCATACAAACACGCGCGATCGATACCGCGATATTCCGAACTCCGAATTTACTGCGAAAACCGTCAGCTGACATTTCATACACATCGGAGCGATCGATAACGGATGGCAAAGCGCAAATGCGAAAGACGCGAGCACTCGCCGATTCAAACCGAGGAAAGGATCGTTGCTTAACAGTTTTTATATTTATTTATCCAATAATTTCATATATTACAAATAAAGCATTAACTGTTACACAATAATAATATTCGGGGAAGAGCTTGTACATTACGCTGTTCTCACGTACTCTAATCGGTTTGATTAATGTTCTGCACGTATCACGTATCATCGTGTCGTTTCTTTTTCTCTCTTCTTCTCGTTTTACTTTGAATTATCGAACGAAAACCATCAGACAGAGACTGATTTATCTAGAGACATGACACGGAGATGCAACATCCACTCGTTTGCCCGTCGCGTTTGAATTGTTTTGTACACTTTCCGGCTGGCAAGTTCGGAAAGCGCGCTATCAACGCTACTACGTTCTATTCTATCTCGAATTTTATCATTGATTAGATATAAAACAAGAATAAAACGAATACGGTAGCGCTGACAACGCGTGCTCCTCCTGAACGCAGCCTTTGTTTCTTTTTCGCTCGGTCGCTACTTTAGTACTTCTTCCTTTTTTTTTCTGTCGAATACCACCTAAAGAGATCGTCGGCTTACAAATAATCGATTAGTGGCGTTTGGCCGTTGGAAAACGGAGCCGGCAGACTTCGGACTATCTTTTACAAAGTACTGTTGTCGGTCTACGTGTTAAATGATTTCAACATGATACCCGCGTTCATATGCAGCGTGTCGTATTATCGAAACGACTTTGGCAAATTGACGAAGACTTTGTTTGAGGCGATATACGCCTTGGAAGAAGTTATCAGCATTTTTTACTGCATGTCGCGGCAGAAACAATTTCGGGTGAGTGTCTTGTTTAATTTAAGTATCAGCTCGTTTGTGTGCGATACATTAATTTTGGAATGTTGCTTCTTTACCTCCAATCACGGCCATGATTTGTGTATCAATTGAGAATATTCACCGTTCTATTCGTATAATGTTAATATTTGCAATCGTTATTTTTCATTTCTCAGTTCACGTCCAATCTTACAATGCCATTTTACAATCTTGTTCCTCATTTATCGAGTCTAGTCGATCGATACAACGCGATGTGAAACAATAGCCAGTGCGTTGTTGCAGAAATTGTTAGTCGAGTTAAAGTGTCCCGACGACAAGTGCAGTTCGCCGAAGGAGATCACGAGACGAAAATACATCTCCTACGGGCGTGTGGTTTACACCTGCATGATGATATCGTATTTTATCGGCACATCAATGTTCATATTGTCGTTCATATTATCTCAGAGAAGACGCTTTCCACTCACTATGTACCTGTCGCCCATGTCGGAAATATGGGCTCGGTTATTGGTTTATATGCTGAACATTTTTGCCTTGTTGCAAGCTGCCTCAATGGTACATCTCGACATGATAATAATCATCATACTGTTGAACGCCACTTTCAAATTCAACCTGGTGGGCAGGCAAATGCGTTCTGTGTTCACTATCGCTAAGCTGCGAGCCGCCATCGAGGCGCACCAGAGTGTAGTCGAGTACGTTATTTACTTGACGTTAATTACTTGACGAGATGTCTCTTTGAAAATGTTGTTATTATCATGATATATAGAAAAAATATAGTTTCGAAGGTCCGGAAAAAACCAGATTTTTTTTCAAATTTTCCGCGGACTTCATCGGTTTCTGTTCCAAGGATTGATCAGTTGTTTGGAAAAATTCACGTGTGTTCGATTAAAACCTGTCACATTTTTTTTTTTCTGTAAAGAAGATAAGAAACTGAACAAATCCGTGGAAAAATGGGAAAAAGCTGGATTTTTCTTAATTTTCAAAATTATAGAAAAAAATATTGTATAAAAATTAGTCAACGGCGCTGTAATCGGAGTAAATAATTTCAATTTAATAACAATATTGTTAAAACTAATACATACATCATACATTTTTTTTCAAAAACTCAAGTATTAGTTTCAATAACCTAATATTTCAGGCTTGCTCTCGCGATGTGAGAAAATATTTAAATTGGCTTCCGAGTTAGAAATTGTTTCCAAATTTATGAAGGTCACGGTTACGAACTCGAAAGTCTGTTTAAGTATTAGTTTCAATGATATTGCTATCCAGAAAATTTACTCCAATTACGGTGCTGTCGACCAGTCTTATTGATACAACAATATTTTTTTCTGTGTACAATTGGTAATCAGTGGGCAAAGCCCACGTTATCGCGCACATCGATATGTTATTCCGTGATATTTCGATTTAGTTACGCCCAAGAAATCAGCAGGGTTGCTGGCTTTTTGATCCTCAAATCATTGATAGTTAATTACATGATCATGATAACCTCTGGTATGCTGATTATATACGTGAGTATGAATTGCATCTAACGCGAGTAATAATATTAAAGAAAAATAAAGAAGTAACGGGGTAACGCGTATGCTACTTTCTTAATCTCTTTAATTGTTTCGATCTATTTGAATTCGATTTTAATTATTTCAACTTGTATCTTCTGCATTTCTTCTGCATTTCATCTGCATCTAAACGATTGTCAACCTAATGTCTTCGTTAAATTCTTCAATTACGATTGCGTTCGTTCAACTTCGCTGAGTGTCGACAGTTAGTGCTTACAAAGAGACATACTAATGAGAACATTCGCGTTTACCAGAAATTATTATCTTCGCTGTTATCTTGTGTATAGGACATACCTTTGCAGGACATACCTTTATGGGAATCCATTGAGTTATTTTGTACCATCTTTATATCCTTTCTAAGGCTCTACATCGTTTGCTGGACATCAGAGATGGTGACTGATACGGTTAATTCTCCAGTTATCTTTGGCAACAATCATACTGATTAAACAGATATATTTTTACTTCCGACAAAAAGATTTTTCTTTTTTTTTTATTTGAATTCTTGTTACAGGCTTATGAAATTTCTTGGAAAATCTACGACATTCCGTGGATGCCAAGGGTACGTCAAGATGTTTATATGATTTTGCAAAGGTGTCAGAAATTAGTTTCGATTAAAGCAACCTGTATTATACCTGCGATCTCCGTCAACTTTTGCAGGAAGGTAAAGTACACGTCTTGTCGAGCGCGTTATTTTCGCAATAACGCACATTCGTATTTCTAGGTTCTCTGTGGGGGATTTTCGTATTTTCTGGCGCTGCGAACGATATTGAACGATCACTATAACGCATTCGCAATACTGCGTACAGCGAAAATTTAAGAGAAATTGACATTCAGAGTACGGTTTCGTAAGCAATTAATTATTAGTCGAAACAAATGCGTGTTTAAATAAAATGAAAAGCCAGAGTTCACGAAAATGTGAAAGTAACATTAATGATTGCCGGATAAACAAAATCGAGACAATTCGTAAACTCCTCAGGTAGTCTCCTGTGATACTCACTCTACTTTCCGCGGTGTCGAATGTGTCCTTCCTCTGTGACTAAAACAAATACAGACGATCGAAACATCGAGCGTAACTTGTTACATTTAATAAAACACTTACCATCGCGTGCCCGTGCGTTTCTACCTTCAATTATCGGAGTCCAATATCGTTTCGAAGTAACGTAGTTTTGCCACAATAATCCCAAGAAGAAAGGAAGGAAGAGAGGAAAGAGCCACTGTAGAACATTGCAGCGGCGCACAATCGTGCATGTAATTCTCGCCGTTATAACTTATTAATTTGCGCGTTCCCGAGCGCACACACGAGAGAGATAGGAAAATGAGGGTGAATAACAATCGTTTCTAAACGCCGCGTAATACACGAGACTTTACGTCGTTGGTGAGCGTGAGGAGGTGCACTAAAAACGGGATGATTTCCTTGCGAGACCTCTCGGGTTTTCCTCGCTTATTACGAACGAGCTTCTCCGCGGAATTGCGAGAGCGTTGCGAAAGAGGCACCGCGATACTTCCAGTTTCCGGAAGGGTTCCGGAAGAATTAGGAACGTGCGATTACCCGCCACGGGAGAAGCGAGCTCGGCCGATATGAAGAGTCTGACTTTGGAGAAGATCATCGCGTTCCTGAGGTTGGATCTGAAATTCGCCTGTTGTTGGCCGATGCCTCCGAATGCGACGAAGCTTCAGATCCTCAGCGACAGATTGTTTCGTCTGGTTTCCGGTTTTCACGCGATACTGTTGGTCCTCGAATTAGGTTACACGATTGTTTATCGTGTCGAGAACGTGCTTATGTTCATGCAGTCAACCTGCGCGCTGGGTATCATGTTCGAAGTGCCGTTGCAAATCTCGCTTTTCATTCTACAGCATGACCGTTTGCAAGTAAGAGACTGTGAAACATCTGCCAATCTATATATGTTTCTGGATGTGTTATTGTTTCAATTATTAAAAATGAATTATTACAATTTCGCCGAATTGTTGCGATCTTTTAGGATCTCAAGGACGGCATAGCGATATCTGAAATTGACGATATTGAGAATATAACATTGAGAATAATCCATTTACTTGTTTCTATATAATTATTGATTTAATTAAATGGGAAGACATTATCTTAGTATACATTCGATAATAATAAAAAAAAGTGCAAAAGTACAAAAAAAGAGATAACAATATAAAAAGAAAATGGAAAGAACTCCGAGATAATGTTTTCAATTGATCATATTGATGTTTAAATAGCCGATCGATTAAAATGATCGGCACAATCTTGAGATCAAACGCGTGGTTTTGCAGAACGTGATCGTACAAATGGAGGATTATTATCAACGAGCGAAACCGGACGAGAGGGATGTTTTTCAAAGGTACATCAACAAGTGCGCATCCATTTATGTGACAACGTTGAGCATGATGACTATATCGTTGCTTAGTTCATATGTTGAGCCGCTCTTTCGCGGGTCTGATTCCTATCCGCTTGTGATAAAGTATCCGTTCACCGTCGACCAGCAGCCGTTGCGGGCAATCGTGTATTTCCATCATATTTTCGGGTTGTATCAAGTTTATTGTCAAGTGAGCGCCAATGTTTTCCTCGCTCTTCTACTGTGGTTCACGTCAGCGCGCTTCGAAATTTTGTCCAACAAGTTTCGCAGGGCCGCTAAATACTCCGACTGGCAAATATATGTGAAGGAATATCAGGAGCTTCTAAGGTATGTCGATGTGTTGATAATTAGTATCGATGTGCCGGCACACAAATGCGAGTCATGCAAGTCACGAGCCATTAATTTAATCGTGTAGAAGAAAAAATTTTTTCTGAATTTTTACTGACTTTGGCTGACTTGAATTTAACGTTTATTTATGTAGTCATCACACTTGTCATAACATAAATATTAAAATTTGATTTCTGGGAATGTTTAATGCACATTTTCTACGGGCGATGGTAATTAGCGATTACGACAGGATGATTTTTTCTCTCGTCGTTCTCTCGTGCAATTTAATCGCAGAATTAATTTCACGTAATCACATAGTGTGTTGCGATATATGGTTGCAGGTTCTCCCAAGAAATAAGTTTATCTATTTCACATGTAGTGCTCTCGTCGCTCGGTATTAGTACCTATGCGCTAGTATTTGGCGGTGTTACCATCCTCAGCGTGTGTATACACATAATATTCTTAAACGACAAAACATACATTGTTTGTTGCCAAACAAACATACATTCACTCATTAATATTGTTAAGGCTCGGCTATCTCAGTAGTCATGTTGGTTGTATGATGTCAGAGGTAAAAAATAATATACAGTAAATTTTTTGCAATATATGGCTTTATTTTATAATTTTCTCTGAGAAATATAATAGTTTCGTAATTCTGAAATCTACAAAATATGTGGCAAACATAAGATGTCTGTCCGGTGTGACACGTAGAAACGCAAAATAATTTCTGAAAAAACGGTCAATCACACACATATAATGGATTCAAAAAAATCCTTTTCTTCGTGTATGGACAGGCATTTAAATATTCCGCATATTTTACAGGTTTCATGATTACGAAATTATTGTCTTTCAGGGAAAACTTAAAAATGAAGCTTTACATTGCAAAAAATTTGCTACATGTCATTTTCTCGCCTCTTACGTTATGCAATCAATATATAGATTATAGAGATGGCCGAGTCTTAAGTAGTACGATAATAATTTTGGACGCATATTTATGTCGCACGTGTCAAACTTAATTCTCGAATTTAATCCGATTTCAAAAATTCTTATTAATTTTCCTATTTTTACAAACACAATTTTTACCAATTTTTTAAATTCAAGAATATCTAGGTGAATACTCCGTCTCGACATTTCTTTCCATTTTTCTTTCAAATAGCGACTACCACTGTCCGTGAAAGTAAAGTTCTTCGTCGTATGTATTTCGTCATTGACGAAGGTGCTTCTGTGCGCTTGGCCGGCTGATTATTTGATGAGCATAGTGTGTATTGCGACATGAATAAGATCAACGAGTAAGATCGATCTTGTCGCATACAATCACGGACTTATGAAAATATTTTAGAGTTCCGATATCGGCGATGCCGCGTACGACTCCTTGTGGTATGAGCATGGGATTCATTCGCAGAGGATCATGCTGTACACTTTACTGCGATGTCAGCGGCCCGTAATTATAACTGTTCCTGGTTTATTGGCGGCTTTAAGTTTCCAACATTACACCTCCGTAAGAAATCACATCGAACGCGCGCTATTCATCAATTAAGTGCTTCGTTCTACCTTGTAAATTATCTCACATAATTGCATGCGAGTGTATGGATAAACCTCATAAATGTAAACTTAATAATTATATTTCTGTATTTGCATTGTAATATAAAAAAATATTAAATTACGATTAAAAGTATATATAATATGACTAAAATTATATATATTTAACGCCAAAGAATTATCAAAATGAAAAACAAAGATTTTCATGTTTTTCTGATATATTATCTAAATGCTTTCGAATGAAGTTTTTCCCTGAGAAATATTCATGCATTTTATGCACATATACATGTAACATTTACATATTTTATTTCTGCTTTCTGAAGATATTTGTCATTATTTTACAGTATGTTTCGACGGCGTTTTCATTCTTGACGACCTTTCGAATAATTCTTTCTGAGGATGAGGCGAGATAATAATAGACGTGTTAAGCTTTCCGTTTCTCCGAGGTTTCTTGACTGTGCAATAATACAAAATGATATGTAAACTGTATATAATAATGGAGTTTATGTATAAATAAAGCAATCCTATATATTTAATCATAAGTTGCCGTTTTAAATTAATCATTATGTTCCTCGACATGATTTATCGAAAATTAAAATTGCAAGTACAGAATGAATCAACAAATGTCATAACGATCAAAAAGTGACATCGTAATTAAATAATTCATCTTACAACTTAATGTTTCAATTATTCAAAAACAAAAGGCTAAAAAGGCTCAGATTTCGTCATAGCTACGTACGAAGTGGCAACAGTTACAGGATGAAAATTGAACTGGGTTAAATGAACAATTCGAAAATTTCGACCACCACCAGCCGACACCAGCATTGTTCCGCGTCTATATACTGTTTACACAGGTTACGGTGCTATTTGCGTCACACTTCTATCCGTTGCCCTGTCATCACACACTGTCTGCCACCTTGCGTATCCGCGATAATAACTGTAATTTCGCTTATCACGCTGCTTAGGGGAAATAAGAAGACTATTGTATTATTACGGGAAGGGAATGTCGATACATTTCCCGCCGGTTGAATAACTCATGCGCTCACATTGCGGTCTGTAATTCCCGCGTGCAGCTGTGAAACTTCGCCGTAATGTATAGCCGATGGGATCTTACGCGCGCGTTTACGCGCGTTCGACAAATTCACATATTTTCCCCTTACGCGGCGAGGGTGGTGAATTAAATAGGCGTTCCTCGTGCGTCTCATCTATTTCTTACTCCCCTCGAAAGCTTAAGGTGGTCCGAGTCTCGCGCGATACCGCGCTTAAATCGTTAACGAACAGCGAGGGAGAGCGCTTTCAACGGCTGTCCTCATGGCGAACCCACTGACGATGGGGAAGCTCATCGTCTTCCTGAAGGTGGATTTATTGTTCGCCTGCTGTTGGCCGTTGCGGTCTACCGCCACGAGATGCGCGAAAATACGCAACAAGATATTTCGCCTGCTGTCCGTGCTGCACGGCATGACCATGGTGGTCGCGATAGTGTACACGATCTACGTCAATCGCACGAACATGTTTCTGATAATGAAACTGTGCTGCGAGCTGTGCACCACCACCGAGGTCCCGTTGCAGGTCATTTGCTACTCCCTGCAGTACGATCGACTACAAGTAAGCGGCGAACACCGGTTCGGTTTTCGGTTATCGTATTAGTCGGTAAATCACTGAGATAAAACGGTGTCTCGGGCTATTTGTTCTCTTTGCGAGACGGCAAGGCCCTTGGGCGTTTCGTTATCGTCGAAACTTCCACATGCAACAGACTCTGTCAGACTAATCGTAGCCGGGAATTTCAATACGATAACGTCGAGGTCACTTTGCAGCTAGAGCGATTAAAATGACATTGCACGCGCTTAGATCCGTAAACCCTGGGTTACTATTTTGCTCGAAGACTTAAATAGTAAGCAAACTGATCAATCACAGTTGTTTGTTAGAATAATTGGTCGTGACTGATCAATTTGCTTACTGCTTATGTTTTAAGGAGATTATGAGGCTATGTTGTATTTTCAGAGTTGCATCAACGTGGCTACTTATCAATTTCGTATCTATCAAGCAAAATTATGTTTCTATACTTTTATTTCACTACTTAAATATCATCAACTTCAGTTGCAAATATCTCAGCTTCTGAACGGTCAATCATTTTCTAATTGCACGAGTTATCATATGTCAATGTATACATAGTGCAAGTTTCATTGAATTCTTATTAACCCTTTGCGCTCGAGGCCTTTTTCGCTCGAGCGAACCAGCAACTCGAGAGGAGTTAGCTGCTCCCGCTTATTTCATGAGTTTTTTACAGTTAACTTAAAATGATAAGACGTCTCTGTAGCCATTACGTCATAAGATTATACACAAAGGACTAGGAGTAGACTCGTGAAGCGATATTCGTTAGGCCAAATCTAAATAAACACCGTTATCGCTCGATTTTCCGCCTCGATCCGAGTGGTGCCTGAGAGGCACCTCTCGAGCGCAAAGGATTAAATTCATTTCGCATTACAACCTCCTTAGAACGAGTTTGTGACCCAGGTCTAATTATTAGACACGGACATGTGTCCCGATCTGTCATCCATTCTTTCGCACCTGACCGAAATCGATCTTTAAAGACAAAATCATCCGAGAGCAGCTAATTTTGTCTTTAGCTTTGTTATATGTAAGTACATACCTAATATATTATCAGCTATTATTTTTCGTACTCTTCGGTACAACGTCTGTGCCTACCGGAACAGCGTCTGTTTTCGTGGTGCGGTCGCAAGTCGGAACGGAAATTATTTTTTTCAATTAGTTATACAGCGATAGAGTAGTTAATCAATTCGGGTGAATCGAGAATATGCATATTTCCTCTTAAAATGCGATAAAGACTCAAATACGATTAAGTTACCTCGTAGTTTTTACAATGTTCCTTTTGCTCATCGAAGTGTCGATCGCAACGAAAACAACGAGCGAGATCGCTTACGTGTTGACTCGTTAGCTTCGAGGACTGTTATTAATTTACGTGCGCTCAAGCGTGAGCGTTCGAGAGCGCAATATGCCAAAAGTCGCACGAGCTTCCGAATAACGATACAAGTAATTTTATATGTTCATTGATTGTATTTCTAAAAAATACATATCCTGGATCTGTTGAATTGTATTTTACTCGATAGAAAATTAACACATTATTGGCCGGCTGTTTTATTTTTTCCTCAAAAACGGAGTCTTTAAGTGAAAGTAAGTTATTTGTTTGATTTCTAAGGTAATAAAAATAAGTTATTTGATTTGTATTTAATTTTTTAAGATCGAACTTTGATAAAAATTGTTCTGAAATATTCTGATATTTTCTTCTCAAAGTATGATGTACCGCCAGCGACATTCGATTGGCAAAACACGAGTTGTTTCTTGTGATCGGTCTTAACACAATGCGTGAAATTTGTGTCATATTATTAATATCCACCAATATCCACAGTAGATACTTAATGATTATTCATTCGAGTTCACACCCCATGGATCCGTTTTCGCTTGACCGACGATCGCGATTCAATTGCAGTATGTGATTTACGAATTGGAAGATTATTGCAAGCGGGCAAAACCGGAGGAGAGGGAAGTCTTTCATCGTTACATTTACAGCTGCAAATCGGTCTACGTGGGCTCGGTGTGCGCTTTCACCGTTACCGGCCTGCTACTCATTATCAGCCCCCTCGTGGAACCCCATCCGTTCCCCGTCGACATCGAGTATCCGTTCTACGTGGATTATCAACCCGTGAAAACTATCATTTATCTGCATCACATATTACTCTTATATCAAAGTTACACGCAGGTGTGCTCCAATATTTTCGTCGCGCTCCTTTTGTGGTTTGTCTCGGCGAGGTGCGACATACTGTCCGATCGATTTCGGGCGGTCACGAAATTCGAAGAGTTGCATGCGTGTGTGACGGAACACCAAGAATTGTTGAAGTGAGTGACCGAAGGTCCGTTCAACGTTGAATTGTTGAATCGAAAATTCACGATATCGAATAACACGACGACAAGAAAGCTTGCGGAACAAAGATACACTGAGGTCCCATATTCTGAGCTCACTTTTGTCGATAAAAGTGTCTTAAATGTAGTTTCTCAGCCAATCAGGTGGTTTCTACGCCAGAGGAACTTTTAGAGGCACTTTTATTGATAAGAGTTCAGAATATGGACCTTAATCTTGAATCTTTGTTTTCCCGTGTTAATTTGTCTTAAAAATTAACAATTAATCGACGTTGTAGTTTAAGGCATATTAATATCATAAATTTTGCACAGATCGGTCGAACGTTTTTTCAGTTTCCTTATTGACACTAAAGACCCGAACGGTCTTTCTCGTTACTTTCGCTTTAATAATGTAATCACGAGACTTCAATGAAGAAATAAATACCATTTTTAGGTATGGGAAGAAAGTGACTCTCTCAATTCGTTACGTAATGCTAGCGTCGCTAACGATCAGCACGATAGTAATCATTTTTACCGGTTGTACCTTCCTCAGCGTGAGTATAATTTTCGATATCAAAATATTTTTGATATCATCGTGAGTATAATTTTTTTCGTAGCATGAACGATGTAAATACAAGAATTATGCTGAGCAGGAGTGTATATTTAAAAAAATTTTTGTTTCTTCGGGCACACCCAAAGTAAAGCTGTCGCAATCTCTTCGCTTTGCTTTCATATAAGTTTCTTTCATTCCGACTGCATCAGTCTATCCGAAAATCACTCTCATACGCATCGTATAAACTCAAACCGATTTCAAGAATATATCTATGTGTCGTTTGACGAAACGACGATTTATCACACATAAGTAAATCGTCCGTTGCAATTTATTTTTTTCGATAGCGACAACCGATGTCGGTGAAATCGACATTCTTGATCTTCTTCATTTCGTCCCTCGCAAAAGTGTATTTGTGCGCGTGGCCGGCCGATCATTTGTTAAGCGCAGTAAGTTACATCTGTGTAACACATGTAGACGCGAACGAGCGACAGCCCAAGCAGCATATATCGTTTGGCTAACCGTTAACTAGTATTGGCCAAATTTTTGGGCAACGGTTAATTAACCAAAATAATGTATGCTGCTCGGGAGGATGACTTCGGTACAACTCCGAAATTGACATTCTAGAGCACCAATATCGCGCATGCTGCATATGAATCGATGTGGTATAACGGGGAGGCCAACTTGCAGAAGAATTTCTTACATATTTTGTTGCGCAGCCAGCATCCAATAGCTGTAAACGTACCCTGCATGCTTCCGACTGTTTCATTAAATTACTACACCTCTGTGAGTCACTGATTTTATTATCGTTAATTTCGCTGATTTGTCGATCGAGTGCATCGAATTCGTATCAAACCTCATTTCACCTTACTACCTCCTTTAGAGTGGAATTTACTTTAACTTTCGTTCCAGGATCTGAATTACTGTTGTATGTACTACAAACTTTCGGTGTCACTTTTAAATGCAGCGTAGATCAATTTATAGATCAATGTAGATAATTTTTCACAAACTTTTCATTATCGTGGCTTATAGACAAAACATCCTTAATAAGATACGGCCAATCATATAAAGTGTCAAGAAAAAAGAAACGTGCGTGTTAACGTTTTAAATAATTTTTAGTACATCTCGACTGCCTTCTCTTATCTGGCCACATTCCGAGTTTTACTCGAGAACGAGGGCAATTAGTCTAACGCCGCGCTGGATGTTTCTCGTTCACGCTGGACGAGTGCCTTTTGTGTAATAACCGTGTTCGTGGAATAAAGGAAGAAGACGCATCTTTGAATAGAGTCAACGGTTAACTCGCGAGACGTATAAATTAAAGATAAAAAAAGCGTACAAGTACATGCGAATTGTAAGCATCGTTGGAACAAAGGTACGAAAGTGTTAGTTAATAAAGCGAAAAGAACATATTTCGAGATGTTTTGTTGATTTACCGTTGATGTCGAAATTCGCTTTACTTCATCTACGCACTCTCTATTACTCTCCCTTACCGCAATCGAACTGCCCCTGTCGCCGCGAAAGTTTCCGCGCGACTTCCAGCGCTTCATTATTCGCTAATTATATATCTCACAGTTGTGAATTTAATTACCATCGGACGCGTGCCGCAATTACGTTCGCTTTATCGTGGCGAGCGAAGGTGCGCCGGCAACGTTACGTTCGTTGCGTATAATTAATTAAACGGCTCTCGTCCTTCCACACGAACGAACGGGGAACGCAGTGGAAGAGGAGGTGTCTGGCCGAGGAGGAGTGTCGAATGAGAATTATTTCTCTGAAAACAATTTCTCCGGCCGGCAATCAATCCACGATAACGGCTAATCACAGAAATCACCGTGGTAATCCCGCATGTTTCAATATCGCGATATCGTGAGACTCCCCTCGGTGTTTCGTTCGCGATTTCGATGGAATAATAGAGGAAATAAACCGCTTTGTATTTCCGAAAGCAAAGTAGTTGTTTTTCGAGCGTAGCCACAAAGCATTACGATTGAGAAGGGTCCACGTTAAGACCGAGATCTTTTTTAAACCGTGTTTGTGTAATCAGATTGAATTCACGTGTGCTCTTATAACAGCGAGATTGGCTCACATAGATCAGGCCATAATTTTATTTGTCGTCTTTTGGAGCGAGATTTATTTCCCTTGTGTCACCTTCGAGTCACGTCCGATTATACACACGTGTGTTTGCGCGTCGGTCGCATTGATATATCGCACTACTATCGGCTGCGCTCGAAAACACCACATTGAAAACAGAGTGGCATTTGATTGACTAAACGGGACAAAAAAAATGTCTAACATTTCTTTATCATGATCGGTCAATTAAATGCCGCGCTACCCTCAGTGTGTATTTCTGAGCGCAGCCGTGCACGGATTCTAGAGGCTTGCATTATTAGAACCGGGTTTTCTTCGGCGGCAATTTCTCTAGAATAATCGGGGCGCAATTCGACAGTGCAATTCGCAACGACGAGTCCTATAATTCTTGATTAGACCGCGGTCGTTTAATCGACCGGCTCGCGAGAATTAGAATTCAACGTAACCGCGCGTAGAATGGGTATCGTCCGACGCCCTCGCTGTTTCCACCTTAAAATCACCCAGGAAATCACATGCGCGGCGAGCCGCAGCGCCGTACGATTCACATCGCGTATGTTCACGCATTCATTATTCGATGCCTCGTGAATTTCACGTAAACGCTCCCTGAGTCTATAGCACGGGAGTGGCAAATTACCTCGGCGGTATCACGAAGGGGGCAATCAGGCTTTGTGCTCCGTCGTCCCGTGGTTTTCCGCTCCCGAGAACTTCCGCATTATGGCTGCGAAGGAGAAGCTAACGTTGGACAGAGTGTTCACTTTCCTGAAGGCGTACCTGACGATAGTCTGCTGCTGGCCGCTTCCGAAGAACGCGACCAAGTGTCAGAGGCTACTTCGCTGGGTCATCCGGTGTTTTTTCATCGCGAACACGACGTTGTACACCGCCGCAGCGGCATGGACATTCTGCGAGTATAGCGACGACTCGCTTCTGGTGATGAAACTGGGCTGCCAAATGAGCGCCGTCCTGCAAATCCCGCTGCAGATTATATTCTTCGCCGCTCAGGACGAACGTCTGCAAGTAAAACTTCACTGTCGTCTAGAGTCGATTTCGATTACCCGGGTACCCAAGTCTTTTACGTTACAAATTATTGATTTTTCTAACAGATGATAACGTCTGAAATATTAGCAATATATTCAGTTACTGAAAGACTTGGGTATCCGGCTAGTCGAAATTGACAGCTTTATTGTTATCGGTTGCGCGACACTGTTTCGATAATTTATAAGATGATTTATAAATTAGAAAATGTCCAAGGGGTTGTTAGTGTATACAAATAGGAAAAAAATATGAAAAAAATATATGATCGAATATGTGTATTATTGAAAAATGCAGCTCATCGTTTTGGAAATGGAGGATTATAATCGGCGAGCTGAAAAGTACGAGAAGGACATCTTCCGACAATACATCGACAGATGTAAACCGTTCTACAGTACGTACGCTGATAGAGTTGATTTGTTTTACATTAAATAACTTTGTTGTAAATTAAATAAATCGAAGCTCTCCTGGTTGATAACGAATGACATGTAAAAAGGTTATTTAAAGCCTTTTAATTTTATTTTACCTCCTATTATTAATGTTGATTCTAAAATTATTCTCTTGCCATCACGTTCGGAATTAACCGTATATTATTCGCATTATTTTTTAGCAATAACGATTACCGTAGGTATGATTCTTAGTTTGCTGGTGGTGACAGCAGCCAGCGTAGCCACCGGGCCTTTATTTCTACCGCAACCATTCCCGGGCGATCCGAAATATCCGTTCAATGCGTTGCGACAGCCACTGAGGACCATCATCTACGCTCATCATATAGTGATCACTTATCAAAGTATGATACAGGTTAGCGCCAACACCTTTCCAGCTCTCTTGCTTTGGTTCGTAGCCGCTAGATTCGACATCTTGTCCATGCATTTCTGCATGGTGACGAATGTGAAGGAACTGATAAGATGCACGCATGAGCATTACAAGTTGCTCAGGTATGTGATGGAGACTCGGGATGCTACGTAGCTACGTGTTTAGATGTATGAACTTGAAGAAAAATAATAAAAAATATTAATTCGTAGTTAATTGTTAATTGGAAAAAGTGCTGCCGTTAGAACAATATTTACTTGATCCAAATAATATGGTTACATCGATACTCCTTGGCAAATATTTACTAGAAGAGTAGAAATATAATTGACTATGATTAATACAATATTTTTTTCCGTTCAAGCAAATATTTACTTATATGTGTTAAAACATAATTGCGACAAGTGTTCAATTCATAATATTGAGAATATCAGAATTTATCTTTAGAAAATATTTGCTGGGGAGAAAAATCTAAGTTAAAGCCACTAAGTTTTTTTAATAGGAAAGAAGTATTACACAATTCTAGTAAATATTTTCTTAAATTTTGAACCATTTTACACGTACGTTTATTAATTCGTTTGCAAATTAAAATATTACTGCTAGTAAATGTAATCACTCGACTATTTGGGATATGAGAATCGCTGAACTACAAATCGCGCGCTACAATTCTGCGACGGCGCGTCGAGATACTCAGTGCGATGACATTTCCAAAAAGTGAGTACCTATTTGCAGGTACGCGAAGGAAGTGACTCTCGCGATTCGTTACGTAGCACTGTTGTGCGTAACATTCAGTACCGGCGCTGTGTTATTCGGTTGTCTCACTTTCATGAGCGTAAGTGTCACGTCTCGTGGTGGAGCTTCATTGCGAAACACACGTGCAATTTGTTCAGTCAGAACGATCCATCGTAAAACTCGCTGAAACTTTTGTATATATTGTTTACTATATAATGTGCTCAATATTCACGTACGTCTTTTATATTTTCTCGATATTTACGCGTGTGCAGCGTCATCCGTTGTCGGTGAAGGCTCCATTCCTCATGATAGCCTTGAGCGGTTTTATGGAGCTTTACATGTACGCTTGGCCAGCCGATAACGTAATGAGCACGGTTAGTCGTTTAAGTCGGTTAAGTAACACAAGTTGCGTAACAAGAACTACTTATGTCTTACGTCTACATTATAAGGTAGACGTTCCGATCGATGTTCTAATGACTCGCTTTCCGAATATTCTCGTTAGAGCGGCGACGTCGCGTTGGCCGCTTACAGTTCCTTGTGGTACAATAATGACACGGCTGCGCAAAAAAATCTGATATATGTTATATTGAGAAGTCAACGTCCGGTCACCATCTCGATCCCGTGCGTGTTGCCGAATTTGTCGATGAATTATTACACATCGGTACGATTTTCCTAATTCCCTTGGTAGATTGTATAAATTTAGGTAATAATTTAGATATTAATTTGTATAATTTGTATTAATTATCTGTATATTAATTATATTAATTTAGGTAATTGCAAATAACATGATTTTCGTTATCTTTCAGTACATCTCGACTATCTTTTCGTGCATGACACTCGTCCGTATCATGATGGGTAACGAATAAATAAAAACAGAAAACGAGAATCACGCTTAAAATGAAAATTCAGTAGTTGTAGTTTCACGAGGTAACTTCTGTACATAGAGCTTTGTATGTGGTGTGTAATGGGAGATTCGGAATTTGTTAATAAATATGGTCGAGGATAATCTTTTGTGTGCTTGAGATCAACGAGATCACACGATATCAATATAAACTACAAAATATATTTATTTTTATGTTTAGTTCGTAACGACAATTGATATATAAAATCGCCTCGTAAGTAACTGTCACGTGTTAGCGGAAAATTGACGTATTGAATATGAATTGAATGTGAAATACAAGCTTTGCTGCAACTCTCAAGAGTTATTCCGCTGATAAAACGATACAAGAGATACAAGATAAAACGCGATGTATTCAATTGATGTAATCAGACACGCGTTCACCCAGTTTACCATAGACTTCTCTACAGCGCAGGCTAATCCTATGTTTTATGTAATCTGCATGAAAGTACATACTTGTTACATATATATTAATTATTTCGCTCTTCTTGAATACTTCCAATCGCCCGAGGATTTCAGTATAATTCTTCGCTCGCTCGGCTCTTCTTACTTCCTGTCTACGAATCGGAAGCGTAACGGCCGATTCGGCACGTTCATCATGAAAAATCGACTCCCGATATCGGCGTAATCGTACTCGATCGTGAATTCTCGCACCAACTGAAGTGGACGAGAAAGATGAATACACTTATATCGTATCTCTTTATCGGTTTACAATTCGTGTCCATCCTAGACAAAATTCACTCACCTTCGCGATGAGCAACGTCATTTGCGTCTCAGCCATGTTTCTACCCAGGCAGGACCGCGAGCCGTATCCGAAGGGTAGACACGAGTACTCCTGGTAGAAATTGTGCGCATGCTCATCCTGATTCAACCACCTCTCTGGCCGATACTTCTCGGGATCCTCGAAAAGTTGTTCGCGCTGCGACGTTATCTGACTCGCCATTATGACGAAAGTCTGCATGACAATTGGAAATTATTTATGTCGCATCTACGGTTCGTTTGCGTTACACTCGAACTGCAATCTACGACTCACCCCCTTCGGTATCGCGTATCCGTGTAACGTGATCGGCGACGACAGTAATCTCGTCAAGTAGGGAAATGCGGGTCGCAACCTTTCGTAAGGAAAATCATTTCGTACAATAATTAATGTGAAATTAAAAAAAAAAATGAATTTCGCATACAGTAATGTCGATGCATTACCGGTAAGATTTCAAGAAAAATCACTTGCTTTTCGGTCTCAACGTGAGAAATAAATTCAATTATAAGAAATATTAAATTACCTGAGACTTTCCTTCACGCATGCTTTCAGATACGGCATGTTCTTCAGACTTTCTTTTGTCAAGACGGAGCCCGATCTGGCCGAGACGGAGATTATCTCATCATACAGCTGCTTCTGTGCCCTGGGATTCTTTGCCAAGAAGTAGATCAGGAACGCCTCGCAATTGACGACCTGAAAATTTACAGTGTGACATTGACATCTATCATAGCCACGTCGACTTTCGTCGCGCATTACTGCCTGGACGCCTAAGATCATCATGTCCATCAAGAGCGTGGAAATGTCGTCCACGTGGATGCGTTGTGCCAGCATCTTCTCGAGGAACGGTGAGCCTTCCTTCTCTTTCGCGAATCTCTCTTGTTCCAACTGCGATAGAGCCTGCAATTTGTTCTGCGTGTGGCGAATATACTTTCCGATAATCCTGAAACAAAGATCCGTCGACGAGTAATTGTAAGTAGATGTAGAATTAGCAAGATCGATCAAAACAAGTGCAAATAACATGCGAGTAACGTCATGAGCTGAAGAAATTTATCAGCCAGATAAACAAGTATGAAATGATGGGAAGATGTGTTAAAATATAATTACGATAGTCGTTATGTGACTAAAAAGTGTAATTAAGTAGAATAATACGATCGTAAGCTTTATAGAAATTCTGCCGGATCACTCGTCGACTCACTCGTTGAGGACGTCACACGCGGCGAAGAGCCTCTTGGCGAACGGAGTCTCGAAGAATCTCCACACCTGAAAGCCGGTCTCGCAGCGACTCATGTACGTGTGAGCGGTGATCAGTGCATTGATGACCTTCGTGGTCTCGTCCACCGACCTCGAGGTGGGATCGAGGAAGCCGAGGTGTTTGTTGAACATCGTCACGTAGAAGCATTCCATACCCCAGGCGGTGAGATCCCGGTGAAAAGTTCCCGGCACCTGTCGATTCGACTCAACTGAAATACCTTTTCTGAAAAATGGTATTTCAACTGAAAACTTCAAACCAGACTTCAATCGAAATACCATTTTCCGTTCCGCAGGCTCAGATACTTCGCCACACGTCGCCTATTACTCATTATCCATTAGCGTCCAACAAACCTCATCTTGTCGATTGCATATTTCACGAATCCTGTTAGTGAATTCCCCGCACACCTCGTCCAGTTTCTCAAAATAATCCCAGACGGTGTCGTTGAAGGGCTGATCGACTTTCTCTTTTACTTCCAACCACTCGTAACTTTGTCTAACATTTTATGAATCGATCACATGTTACATTTGTTACATTGTTAAACGTTTTTCACATCATGCGGATATAACACGATAATAGGAAGAACATTATAGATTTGTTCAACAAATATAATTTTTTCGTGTAAAAATATGTATAAGATATAAACAAAAATATGATTCAGCCATGAATTTGTTTTATGTATAACCGACCATTTAGTTGGTCTCGGTTGTCATATGTAAAATTCAATAATTTATTGTAATGAATTAAGTAATCATATTATGCTTACAGGGAGAACGCTCCTGCGGAGCGATATTTGCGATGATTAAGATGATAATGTTGAAGAATGTCGATGCCACTGCGGACAGACAACTCTCTCTCCTGCTCGAGAACCTCGGCTATATGCTCAGGCCTGAAATAACATCGACGAATTAGCATCGGAGAGACAAAAGCACAAGAGATGTAATACTCACCTGTGAATCATAACGATGTCATTTATAAGCGGCCCATTGATTCGCACGACGCATCCATACTCGTCGAACAGGTACTTGATCGGCATGACATTACGATTCCAGGATAATCGTCCTGTAATAAAACGACGCGTTAAGTTGTCAGAATACGCCTTCGAATGTTCCAGATAATTATTCACTTTCTATTTTACTGTTCAGCAACAATAAGTGTAAGAATACGCAATTTATTGTAAGTTTACGACCCCCATCCTAATATGCGTCTGATTTAAAAAAATCTCACGTGTATCTTGCATTGAGCGTATATTTCCAAGGTCCAGGAAGCAATTCGCCTAAAATCCGAAGAGCTCGAGAAGTTCGCAGGACGAAATTCGTTTGCATCCTGCGCACTTCACCCGGCCACGGATTTTACGCGACTGAACAACGAGGAATCGTACCCTGAGTAAACTTGTTGATTAGCAGACTGCAAAACAGTTGCGTACCCAGCAACGGCACATATCGCCAGTATTTTTCCCAGAGTTTCAGTATCGCTGGCCCAGGGATCTCCTCGAACGGCAATGGCGACTTATCCGTGCGGGGCGCAACTTTGGTTACAGGAATGTCGAAATCCTTAGCAGCTATCTCAGGGTTAGTTTCTAGCAGTGGCATCGCTGTTGAGGATGTTGCAGTCGCGTTCATGGTTGGAACCATATGTGGCTGCGCTATGGAGGCTGGCAAAAATTATATCACACAATTATTTTTTAAACGGACTTATATACTTTCTTTATAATTATTACAGTGATTATTGTTTAGGATACAAAGTATGATTTTTATGCTTAATGTGAAACATTCAATGTCTTGAGGCCGAGATTGATCTTCTTTCACAAAAAAAAAATATAGAGGCTATTAATTTAACGTATACTGAGAAAAAAGTATTTAAAAATTTATTTATGGGATACAAGGTTTATCTTACAGAAATAAACTTTATGTCTGCGAAATAAATCTTGTATCTTCTGTGTGAAATAAATCCAATATCCCTCACAAATAAATTTTTAAATACTTTTTTCTCAGTATAAGAATGTAATGGGTTTATTTTACGCTCTTACATTTAGTTAAATGTAATTTGCTGAAGAAACAATTACCATATTTCTCACATATTATGTTGTTAGTGGTGAGTGGCAAGCATTTTCTTTCCTCGTCAGCTGTCAACATGTTCGCCAGTCTCGTCGTTGAGTGATAGAAGCAGCTTCTGTACGCTTGCAACGAGAAACGCCGAGCAACCGAGGACCGCATCAAGCAGCGCATCATTTCGCTGTGAGCTTATCCGAGCGTGCAATTTTATAATACTGGGACGTGTTAGGCACTTTTTTTCTATTTCCTAAGATCGTTTGTAAATACAAACGCGAGTCAATGACTGCGAACATGTGTAGTACTTAGAAACTTGAGTGTTCACATACCTTTATAATACGCTGATAAATGTACAGCTCGGAAACAGAGAAGCGACTATGAAATACCGACAGACAATGGTGGCCAACCTGTTGACGCCTGTGCTGACGATGAGAAAAGAAATAATAACGTCGTTGCCGCGGAGACGGAACGAACATTTGAAGATCGATGCATCGACAATAAATTCATTCTGTTGTTAATACACAGGGTGTCGCTTTGGTATCTTCGATCTAACGTTGAATTAGAGGAAGATTTTTACTCGTACTCTTCATCGATGACACACATTACTTTTCGTAACAATTTCCTTTATTACATTATTAACATTCATCGAAGTAGCAAAAATATTAGAGATTGAATTCAAGATTTACTTCATTCACTAAAAGAGACGAACGATATTGAATGCACTGCGAAATTACTTTTTGGCACACGCGTGCAAAAATTTCATAAATCCACGTCGATCTCTATGTCCTCCTCGTCCTCTTGCTGCGTCGTACCATTGGTAGCAGGTTTCACCACTTTCTGAGGAAAATCCTTCTGCGTGGAGTCCGGGCCGGCTAAAGCAACGTTTTCGCTTTCCCTCGTGTGTCGCCACTTCATCCGACGGTTTTGAAACCAAACCTTGACCTGACAACGAAGAAACACATTTATTATTTCCCTTTATTGTTATTTCCCTCGTCAATAGTGTTTTCTTGGAAAATTCATATAATAACAGGTTACGAAGAATTTTTTGTTTTGTAAAGTATGCTAAATTGCTCACAAAATTGTCCAAGTCGTACAACCTGTGCATCGGTTAAGCCTAAAGTTGCCGCCAATTGTCGTCGGTCGGGTTTCGTGATGTACTTTTGCAAAGAGAACCGCCTCTCCAAGCCTTTCCGCTGCAACGAACTGAACACAGCTCTGGACCATGATCTCTTCCTGCGCGTGCTGGTTTCTGAGGAGTTCATCGTCGAGGAGGATGAAATTGGTGCTAGAAAACAAATATTACCCGAAAATATGTTTAATTAATGCTAAAATAATAAATATTAGTTCTCATATTAAATTCCATAAAGTATCTTAGATCATTAGATTTGGATGTAAATTTTATTATATAACTTTATCAAGTTATACAACTTAAGTTACTTATATAACTTAAATAGTTACACAATTTGAATTTCTTTTTAATATATCGCGAATATATTTAAAAAAAGATCTAAAAATAATTGATATCCTCCTTAAAAATAACGTCCGTAAGCATAATTTCTTAAAAAAAAAAAATAATAAAAATTTATGTGAGATATGTACAACTTTGAAAATACCCGACGTGCAACATTCAAAGGATTTTGCGTCGGAGAGAACACATGTGGGGGGAGGAATTACGGATTAGGTGGAAGCGTGGTGAGAGGTAAACGCTGCTCTTAGCCGGACGGGTGTCTGTTTCCACAGTTTTCGGTCCGAAGAAGCTCCCAAGATGGGGTACTTCGAGCTGATTTACAGCCGCACGAAAGTATACAACATCTGCGCGTATTTAAACAGTGCGGTACACCCACTCGAGCCGAATCTCCGAATAAATATCCGAACAGATATCTCTAACATCATAGTTATTTTGGGGCTTTTATGCTGATCTTCCGACGTGGATTTCTAATCCGTAGACTCTGCTACATTTGATCGGCCGTGTCGTGTTGCATGCGAAGAACTAATGTCACAGTTTAAAAACAGGCATATCGACATTTTACAAAAAGTACAAATGAAAGTATAACACAAGGAAACAAAAATTGCGATAATTAGAATATTTAAATGTATTATTCATAATAATGCATTTAGAATAACTCAGAGATTAATTTTCACGATTATTACTATTTTATATCTACAGTATTATTAACTTTAATAACGTCTGCGAAGCACATTTTATTATATATGTTACTAATAATATTAATAGTAGTTACAGAGAATAAACGAAAGCCATCGGATTTTAACTAACCGAGAAAACGCGCGTTGAAACCGCCGTTTACGCTGCGCGTAAACGCTCGGTGGCACTTAAGATGTCGTTTAAACATAGACAGGAAACACGAGAATACACTGACACGTAAATATTTTGCCCTACTTGCTCCTGGATATCGGAGGGACAAGACAGTGTGTCCATATGGTAACATTTGTCAATGACGTAACGCGCGACTCACGATCGTATCTTTTTCAAATTCTTACGCATCTTCTCGACGGTTAATCGTGCATATCATCAGTTATTAATTAGTGGGCTGTTCGTTAATTACAAATCCTAATATACCTATATTATAGTTTTCCCCCATTGTTTTGAGGTAACTTTCATATTATTCAGTTTTCTTCCATTATCATCGATCAATATTCTTTTTCTTCTTTTAAATCATCGCGTACAAGAAAGTTAATTATGAATGAATTCGCGACATCTTTAGAAAATAACTGATGCGTCTGAGAGTTAAGACAAGTTTTTCTAATATTTTATTTTGACCGTTACAGTTCAGGATAGGGAAAAGAGAGAAAAAGAGATCGATCGGAGATGGATGATCTAGGTTTGGCATTCAATATAGTCTGCGAATTACCTCTTGGTACGGGACGTAACGGCGCCGGCCGGTATAAAGTCCCTAAGCTCTCCATTATTCCGGTATAAGATGCAGGTGTGATACCTTCAGGTAATGACGAGTGGGCGTGCGGAAATGATGCGCAAGCTCTGAAAGCTTCGCACCTTCCGCAACTTCCGACACAGGGGCAACGTATCGACGGCAGTTGAATCGGAAGTGGCTTAAGCACATCTGTATCGATAAAGAGAAATTTACAGTTAGTTTTAAAAACATAAAATTATGTGATACAAAGAGGATATATAGATACAGGAGGAACAAATAATATTACTGAAATATATAATACGTGTAATAAAGCAGAGTGAAAGATTTTATGTAAGTACGGTGTAAAAACCGCATAACTCCGTGTAATGCCGTGTGAGATTATTGTCATGCTCTACCAGTTTTCTTCGCGCAGATCTCGTTCGACAGTATACGGTCCACGCCAAATTTCAGCTGCTTGGAACAATTGGCGCTGTCCATGACGACGTGGGTATTCATACCGTTCATCTTCTTCTCCTCCGTGGATTTCAGTTTATCAAGAGCGCACACGGTGCCGTCAATTACGCTCATGACACTATTTAGCACGCGTATACTTCCTCATGTAGCTTGTAATTTTGCGTTGAGAGTCATTGTTAAAAAACAAAATTAACGTAGAACGGATTTCAATGATAGCGTTTGTTACAACAAACTTGACTTATTCACCGTTCACTTCGATCCACTTCACTCGCTTTCAGTGACACTTTCAGTGTCATTAAGCACTCGCTCGGAAACGTGGGATTAATAATAAATATAATTTTAACAGGTCTAACAGAAGGAAACTGGAATTATTCCGTTAACGGAGATACATCGCGGTAACAAAAAGCGCTCTCTCAAGAGAGAAAGAGCCGCGGGACGGCGTAAAAGTGAATGAGCGAACGAAACTCTGCCATGTTTGAGAGGAGATCTCCGGCTGAAAAAAATCAGTTCGCCGTCAGCTGTAATTTAGCCGGCATATCTGGATTGGCCCACGAAGAAGCTGGTAGGCGTGGTAACGAGAAAATGGGTCTGGCTACTTCGATGATCTGTCCGGATGCTGCGAATACAAGAATGACCGAGGTAATATTCTCATCCAGACTACGTACACGCGCACACGTAAAGCGAATTTGTCCCTCAAGTCGTGTTAGCGGCTCTCATGTGTTGTGCTTTGTTTCGATATACAATAGATTGGATAAGATGCGATGTAAATGTACATAAATACGTACGCTATTCCGATACATCACTCAGCGGGTTCACAATTGCTGTTTGACAGCGGGTTCACAATTGCTGTTTGACGCTGTTTGAGGTAGCGAGATAGACGTGCGAAAGGTAAAATTATCTTTTTCTGATAAAAGTGTTATTTATCATAAAAATAACGTGAGAACAGCGTAACATACAGGGTATCCCAGCATAAGGAAAACACCTAAATAAAAATGGGATCAATATATAACATGGGGATCATGAAAATAATCGAGGAAAATAGCTATAAACAAATTTTCCTTCTGCGACGTTCTTCCTTCGAAATCATTCAAATTGTGCTCTGAACACACTTCTCATATTATTAAAAAAAAAACAAGAAGATATTTAGATGTTTTCCTTATACTGGGACACACTGTATAAGAATAACGTAAGAATAACATAATTGACCAGCGGTAGACGATAATATATGAAAAGTTCCCTTCGGGCACTTCGAAATCCTTCGATTTAACATGTTAAGTTTTCCATTCATTGAGTTTCGTTCGTTTAACTTATGCTACCTTGACAATGTAATAAGAATGACGTCCAATCGAGCGGCTATAACGAGATGATTCGGCAGATGTTAAATTTCGTATTTCTCACAGTCGTTACTTTCGGACGTGGAGGACGTGTCTTCGGAAAACGGGATTATATTCCGCGGAGTTCTACAAATGTTGCGAGAAGAAGTCGCGTATCGGCGGAATAATGGTATAGAGACGTATGGTCGATGATATCTCTGGAAACCATATGGTTATCTTTGCGTGTAGGCCTACAGAGTATACAGTCACTTAGGTGTTTATTTGAAGAGCCATGTTTGAAGCTGCCTCTCTACCCACACGCCAAGAATATTCTTGGCGGGATATATACACATCGCGGTCCTCTATTCGATTTTATTAGGTTTTAGGATTTTCAAGAGTCTACCGGATTCGCGCGATATCCAATGCGGCCCGATATCGGTAATTACCGTCGTAATTCCCAGTTGAATCGCGAAAATACGGAGGGAGACACCTTCGAGGACGCGTGAATTCAAACTGACGCAGAGGTCTCCCCGTGGCGATCCAGAAAAATAACCAACCCTTTGAGATCGGAGGAGCTGTATCTTTGTAATTTGAGATTTTATTTTGAGCACAGAGGCGATATATACGTATTATTATACTTAATTATTTTTATACTTAAAAATAGCGTAAGGCGGTATCTTCCACTATTTCAATCTCTTTTGAGTAACACTGAGCCCCAGCGTGACATCAAACTCGCGTGAAATTATGAACGTTTCATCTAAGTATTCTAATACAGGTCGTACTTTTCTCTAACTGGTAAATAATTGCGAAGCATGACGAACATTTGCCGATACGATTACGAATAAATAATTCTTCTTAAAATGCAGCGTCTCTACGTTGTAACGATTTGCGATCACTTGTACAAGGCGTAACTTCTCGAAAGCATGATCATCCCTTCGTAGAGTCGGTCCGTCTCGAAGTTGTTCTCCCTCGGATCGAACACCAAAATGTTTCGCTTCGGACGGTTTAATTTCTGCAGACTTTGCAGATTCTAGAAGAAGAAAAGAAAAAAATTAGTCATTACACACGCGCTCAGGTTGATCGACTTATCTATTTAAGGCGGGTGGAATTAGTTTCTACGTGGATGACGTAATGTGATCAATTTTAATGAGTACGGATAATTACCGAGAATACGATGACATTTCCATTGCCGTTGCCGTTTGTGTTACGACGAATCGCCGTTATTATAAGCGTCAGCAGATAACCGCCGAACGCGAGAAATGAGAGAGCGGTTATCGCGAGCTGGAAGATCTTCGAGACCTTCGTGTCTTTGCCTTTGTCGTCGTAGTAATCCTCATATCGACGTATAGGCTTCTGCGTGATTTGCCTCAATGGCAGAGCCGTCGGCAATGCTAACGAAAATGTCCTGCTCGACATGTCGACGTTTTCCTCCTTGTTTTCCTCTTCCCCCGTAACGTCTATCAAATTAAATAGAACAAATATTAAATTTGAAAGGCTGTAAAAAACAATAAGAGATGATTGCACGATGATCTCGTTTTGCATCCGAAACGGCTAGATCTTAAATTAGAAATACTCCGAAGTAACGTCGACATCTTCGATCTCGGATTATTCAACGCAGAATTCGCGACGTAGTGGTTTACCGTTTTCGCTCGCGAGAGAAGACTTGATCTGGATCAGCTTATCCATCGGCAATTCGCTCAAGCTACGAATCTCGTCCAGATACAAGGACGACTGTTCTTCGCACGTCGTCTGCAGAGCGCAAAATGCGCAGAACGTCAGCAAGGTGTGATACATAGCCGGATGTTCTGAAATTTGTAACGATTAAGGACAAAATTATCGGATTCTCCATAAGGATTACGTAGATCCCGCAAGGAAGAAAAGGAATTAGCTGTCCATATAATACAACTGAAATTTAACTTCCAGATCTAATTTTTATCCGTGGGAGCTAAAAATTACGCATAGGGACGAAGAATTAACTCAAGAAGAATTAACTAAATTAATAAAATTTCAGCTAATTTTTAGCCCTGGAAACTACTTTTCAGTTGTGAGTGTCACTTCTTTTTCTCCGTGTGTAAACCAATTAGAATTAGAATAAAAGTCAATTCCGCTCGCGTTTTATGCTGACTATCATACGTTATTCTAATTTAAGTCACTCGAAACGCCACGAAGTATACTCGCCTCTTTCAGAAACTTCGACTCGCGCGTACTGCTGAATTTCCGCTCGGCGAAGCGATCTCTTTAGGCTGGATTCCTGCGTTAAGCTTGAGACGTCACTTCCAGCACCTTCGTCGTCACCTCGACCGACCCTTTTACTGACTCCCGAAACTACAACGAAACGCGACTAGAGCACGCCGCGAGACGCGGATACCGTTTTCTCGCGCTTGGCTGGCGAAGCAAGAAGGGCGACAATCGCGTGGACGCTCGGGACGCAGCGAATTGGAAATAAACGCATAATTAGTGCCACAGCACCCGTTATGATTCGCTTTACGACGATCTTCGCTCGTAGTCTCAGTATCGTCCGACAGCTGGACGCGACGAAATGAAGTCGGAAGTCGCGTGTCTTTTCCTCTGCGTCCTCTCGACGATTCTGCTAGATGGTGCGCACCCCACGAAGACCGAAGGTGAGTTCTTCGACGCCTCAGGAAGAAATTCTCCCCCGTAGATGCGAGTACATGCGAAATGTTATATTTAATCGATCGGTCGATTACATACATCGGTCCAAATTCTGAATTCACTTTTATCGACAGAAGCGCCTTAATGCGGCTTTTCAGCCAATCAGGTGGTTCCCATAACACTTTTAGAGGCACTTTTCATCGATAAAAATGAGTTTAGAATATGGACCACTGCCTGCGTTTAGCAGACAAAATAGCTTAGCGAGCGCTTGGTGATTATTGATCCTAATTGGTACATTCTCTAAATCTATTAAGAAAAAAACTAAAATAATATTTCAGTCCACAGACAATCATCATTTAAGTGCTCATTGAACTTCTTTCGCTGCTAAACGCAACTATGGAGAAGAATATCGTTACGAGAACAATTACCGTACATGTTCGTGATCTCAGATGTTCTCGACAAGATAAAGGCCGGATTGCAGTACGCGAGTAATTATCTGGAGACAGCTAAGGACATTGCCAATCTGGTATCTAAAAGTCTAGGCCATAATAAGTCGAAGCAGAAGCGAGGAGAGGACGGCGATGAAGAGGTGAAGCAGTCGTTTAGCCCGTCGAATCTCATTTCCGCGTTCTTCCGACTGATCGGACTCGATTCACCGAAAGTCGCAGCGATCGCGGTCAACAGCATCATATTTCTCGCACAAATGGTACGAGAATAATGCTAATAAACATCGATATAAATTACTTCAATTATATGACATCGATTCTCTCTTACTTATCTGAAAAGTCTGGCGCTCGATTATCTTTCCCGACAGATAAGCTCGCTGTTCGGAATGAAACCGTCGCAGGGTAACATCGCCAGGAACACGAACGACGCGGTATTAAATTGGGATCCTGTAAAATTCATCTTGGAGAACAAGAATGACGAGGTGAGCCGTCGGGAAAGTGAAATTGGATTATTTCGATCGCAGTCCGCGTAATAACACAAATGGGAAAATTATTCTCGCACAGAAAGGAAAAGTGCTGCATTCAAGTAGTAAGTAAAGAATTACTTAAATATATTCCTTAGCAAATTTTTACTCGGATCAAGTAAATATTATTTGAATACAGCACTTTCTGCCACATTCCTATTTTCCCAGTAAACAAGAAACATTAAATCAATCTTTCGAAATGATCGAATTGATGATCGATGAATGATGATCGAATTGATTTTATCAACATTTTAACATGATATTTTATCAATCTTTTAAAACTGCTACTTAATATAATGTAAATTTGACGATCATCAGTATAAAGATATTATTTCTAATGTTTGGATCAAATATTGTTAACAATAACGTTGTGTACAACATTAAGAACTACATATTTAAAAAACGTACACATGTTAGAAAATATTGTAATAACGTTATGTCAATGATATCTTGCTCACTAAGTTCGCTGAGGTGTATTGGAGCGATAATTTACTTGAATATAACACTTTCTTCTCTCTGCGCACGCTTCGTTCATCTGGATTTGTCTCTCGGCAGTCTCTCACTTCGATCAATTTTAAAGAGGAATGCGAAACGTTCATACGAATCATTACGTTCGATAGGTTCAGAACTTGGTGGATCAAGCGAGAGACGCGAATCTACCGGATCATCTGATAGCGCGAATGAGCGGCTCCGACTCCGCCTGTATCAGACTGTTGCTGTGCAAGTCGTCCCCGGTGATAAAAGCGGCGCAAATCTCCCTGAATAACAAATCGCGGCACGGCATGCGTCGGATGATCGCGTGGCTGCCGTCCAAGGAGGAGTTTGAAGCGAACAGCGACGAGTGCGAGGGCAAACATACCGATTGTAGTCTGTTCCCGTCACGATAATGATTACCCTCTTGAGGAAACGAAGGAAACGGTAAAGCGTTTCCGTCGGGATGCTTCAAAAGCTTCCTTCGTGCCGCGTCCGATATGTCTGACCTGCGAGTGTATGCGTGTGCAGAAGTGTGTGGAAGTGTGTACTGGGGTATCAAATAATAAATACTCGAAACGGCGCATCGCGCTTTGTTTTCAGACATAATACGGTTTCTTTCTCCTTTTTACACATTACATAGTGAAACTGACTTTCAGAAATTAACAATGTTCTTACACATGAAAAGGAACGCGCATCGTAAACTACTCGATATAACCGAACGAGCACTTAGCGATAATGGGTAACAATTAGTTACAAATCCGTTACATGTACAAATTTCACCGTGTATATTTACATTGTCGCGGTGGTGCTGGAGACTCTCGATATTTCGATATTTTCCGTGGCACGCATGTCGCGCGCATGCCGTGCGAGAGCGCGCAGTAAATATCTCGCATGGCAGCGCGGTGTGAACGAAGAGACAACGTTGCGGAAGGTAAAACTAAATTAAAATCGAGCGTACGACGCGTATAATGTAACTCGTAAATTAATACTGACTGTTCTCCATTGGATGCACGGAAAGTATTTCACGATTCAACGAGGACGGTGCTAATATAAAGAATCACGACACTTTGGAATCTAGAGTTTTACTCACCGGCGCTTCTACTCGAAATTAGTCTCCTTTAAACTATAAAAATATGAAATATATATCACTCAACCTGCCGCATAACGGTTTTAATCCATCAAGACGATCGTCAAGATCATCGTTCCTTGCTTCTCGACGGATCCTTTATCCGGCACGATTGCATTAACTTGAATAAAATTAAGCTTTCCCTTTCTTACAACAAGTTATCGCAGACGCAAGAAAAAAGAATATAACAAACGTCACATCTCGAAGTCGTAACTGGATATATTTCATACTAGATTGTCTATCCGTTTTACCTCCACCTCCCTCTTCGCGAGTTAATTAACGTTAAGACATGATTACCTGTAGTTATCACTAGTGACTTTCTTCGATAGTATATATGGCACCACGAGAAATGAATTACTCGGATCTATCATGCAACATTCCGATGGTACTACGCGCCCTCGAAAAAATACACGCGTCTCTCGCGTCTATGTTGCGAGACATGTCAGGAATTCAAATTAAACTACTCCCTAGTTGAAGTACTACGCGAGATAACGTGTAAAAGTTGTACTTGTAGGTAATCGTATCTTTCGGTGAAGCGAAGTTCGTCCTAGCCCCAAATTAATTGCACGTAAAAATCACGTAAAAAGTACGCACCTATAAGGGTATGTACCTTCAAGTTACCCCCTACCGTATCACACAAAACACACAGACAGGCGATGTCGCACGTCTACATTCCAAAGTGTGCAATCTTCGATTAATCTACAGCATACATCTAATGAGATCACGATTACTGTGACACGATCTATACGCCGTGGGGTTATATCGTCACTTTGTTCTCTCTCTTTCTCTCTCTCTCTCTCTCTCTCTCTCTACGGATTGATCATAATCAGTACATTAGAGCGGTCGCCGTTAGAAATCCGATCGACCGTGAAACGTTTGGCATACATTCGACTCTATTTAGCACGCGACTTTACACGCGACGCACCCGCGCGATGCAGCGTGAATCCGTCGTGAGTCCCTCCTAAGTTCAGAGAAAGTTTTGGCATTTGAAAAAACGATCGTTTAATTATAGTAGAGACGTCTTGCCGGAATCGCGCGCGACATTCGCGATCCCCCCCGACGATGGTCTACAAAACAGCAACGACGTTACTAATCGCACTATCGCGCGTGCAACGCAAACACCTGAGAGAAATTTGGTTCAGATATAAAAGATACAAATCACCGGGGCGATCTACGGGAAGTACGTATGTACTATCGCTCGCGAGGCGTCAAGCTCGCGCTTTTGATTCGAGCTCCGTAAAAACAATCCAAAAAGGAGCCGGCCGGTCAGAATGTCGCGCGCGATCGTGTAGTGCGACGATACACCATATATTCTTCTCAAACGCGATTAATAATTTTTTATCGGCTCTATTTAGTGTATATATATATATATATATTTTTTTTTTACAACGTTATATCAGATACTAATCGAAAAATTGATCTCGAAAATATACAGAGGATCAACAGACTGTCGAAAAGACGAGGGGGGGCCGGTCGTTTTATAACACGTCGTCGTTTATATCGCCACCAATAGCGCGTCCGTGTCGTGTGAGCCCACACAATGTCGAAATATTTATTTACAAAAGAAACGCGTCCTATCCACATAAAGATCCCGTTCGCGCAGACACGCGAGCGTTCGTGCGTTCATTCTCACTCTCTCTCCCTCTCTCTCTTTCCCTACCAATTTACAAACTTTATACGTAACAGCGTAGTGTGTACGAAGTTTATTATTAACAGGAAGTCAATGTGTGTGTTTTAATGTGTCGTCGCGCGCACGCTGGGATGCAGAGCCGGTCGAGCTCGAAACACGCTGGAAGACGAAAAGCCAACACCTCCGGGATGAATACTCGAGAAAGAGAGAGAGAACGAGAGAGATAGATAGAGAGAGAGAGAGAGAGAGAGAAAGAGTGGGATAGAGAAAGAGAGGGATTCTCTCTCGATCGTCTCTCTCTTTTCTCGTGCGAAATATAAAATTCGCTTCGTTAATTTCGCTCCCGAGGACTCATCCGAGAAGCGGCGGTCCCACCATGCGCGTTTTTCCCTTCGGATTGGTGTTTGTGTGTGTATGTATGTATGTGCGCGCGACACGCAACTTGTTTCCGCGTGTTACGACTCTGCATCTGAGACGAGACGCGATCACGCAACGATTACGCAACGTCGGCTTGCAAGATCCGAGCGAGGATCGAAGGAGGAGCAGCCGATCGTGTCTGCCGATCGAACCGATTCGGCTGCTTATCGAAGCGCGATCGATTAAGATTCACGCGCAGATTCTTAATCCGTGAGTGTCACGGTGAAAACTTGCGAGCGTCTGAAATCGCTGCGACATCGACACATGACTACTTTATCGGACTACTTTATCGGACTCAGAGAAATAGTACGAGAGTTTCGTTAATAAGTATTCGATGACAGATAAGATCGTTACGGAATTATGACGTACACATACACACACACACACACACACAAGCGTGGTCAAATTTTCACCGTGATACTTAAAGATTAACAGAGTGCCGTTTACTTACTAGCTCGGAAATGTTCCGAATTATTTCGTCCTCGTCCATGTATGAACTATCGCGATATACTCGATAGTCGTCTAGGCAAAGAAGAAAACAGGATTCGGAGCAACAAGCGAGCGCGAAATCGAAATCCTGTACGTTAGTGTTTCGGATGGGATCACCACTTCGAGAAGATCTGATGAGCCTTAACGAGAAAGGTCGAGAAATCGTTTCCGATTCTATTCGGTTCCTAGTCGTAATTACCGCGAAATGAACCGACGCGAGCAATATATTGCACACAGTAAACGATTCTATAAAAATGCTACACTAATTAAGAGAACGAGAGAGATAAAGATAGATGTGGAGAAAGAGTATCATCGGTTAAATCGATACCGTCTGGTTTTTTTTCTTTCAGCTACGTAATTCAAACGGTTATTAGAGAATGAAGATCTACTTCGCGAAAGAAAAGAGATTTGAAGGGGTTTTCCCTTCCGGATGTCAGCCTGGATTTAAAGAGTCGCTTGACCCGGACTAATCAGGTCAGTAGTCTCGATGCGAGCTTGGCGTAGCCAATCCCTGAGGTTTCTGGTCCTTTCCATCAAGTTCGAGGCGCTTCTCTCGACCGTACCAACGCTGGTGGTAAAGCCGCTGTTAGGGCCGTACTGGGCGATGATATTCTGAGTCGTGGTGGCGGGAGGTTGCGCGGTGGTTAATTGAGATAAGATGTTGGGCTGTATGTTGGGAGTACCAAAGGCACCTGAAAAACGGAAGGAGCAGGTGGGCTTCACAATTCGTCGAGGCAAAAACAGATAATCGCCGGATAATCTTTTTTTTGTATTCCTTTCATTACTTTAAGAAGGGTTTCGATCCGTGGATAAATAAATAATTAAATAAATAAATAATTGAGGAAAAATTCCTTTATCGCGTCTACTTCTCTCTGTGCTTTTTTTTAATCACGGAGAAAGGAAGGGAAAATATTTTCTCTCAATATTAATCTCAATAATTAATGGAGGATTCTTGACGATACTTGGAGACGAAGATTCTAATATCGAAATATCGCGATACTTTCCAAGCGGTTAACGTTAATATCAAGTTAGTAAGTTCAAGAATGCAAACTTCGAACGACTTCATCACAATTGGTTTTAAGCGTTGCTCGGTTTCAGAATTATTACAAATTCGACGTTTCTCAACAGCGGGACTTTCGTTTTCGAGTATTCCCGAGTAGTACATCGTTAACAGTTGGCACGGTGAGTTTGAGACACTCCCTCACGTTGCTTCGTGGCAGAATAATATTTAAGCTGTCAAGTATAAACTGTGTATCCTCATGTTTTTCTTTACCTTGCACGGTGTTAGGCTGCGCGGTGAGATGATGAAACCGTAACCATCGCAGATAAGAGTACATGAGAGCCGGTGTTGGAGGTATGTTGCTATCCTGGCGTTTATTCAAGACATCCCAAATTTCTCGTATTTCCGAATTCAAATTTTCTAAGCTCGCGATGATTTCGGTGGACTCTTGGTAATGATCTGGCTTATCTAGATTTCCAACAACAGACTATACAATGTAACGCAAATTCACTGCTGATGTAGCATCCGTACATTGCTTCGTTAAATGTCTGTACGGTTTGCATTAGTTTCTATTCCATTTGATGATGAAAGTTATGCGAGTACTTTTCGTTCTACATGAAATTGAGGATAATTCACAAACTAAAATACAAGAATACGTATGCGAGGTCTGTTTGAGAGAAAACTTTGCCACTTGTTTTGTTTCAGGAAAATGCTTTAATTACTAGAGAGTAAGATTTAACAACTCCAAGAGAATCACAAAGATTTGCTTAAATTCTAAATTATGGAAAATACCATAAAATAATTTCTATTCGTTACTATTAAGGATACGCATGACCGGGTCTTATTATTGTTTGCTACTTAACGTTTGCAACATTGAAGAAACTTGATCTTTCTTCGAATTTTCGTCTGCAACTCACCTACGAAGGTATCAGTTCCCAAGTCAGTCGAACTGAAGCCGCTGCTGGCGCTCGACATATCGCTCAATGTCAGTTCATCATTTTTCGTGGAAGACGCGTCGTTTTCGTTTCGCTTGTCGTTTGCGACTCGTTCCAGAGACTGTTCCAGATGTTTCAAGTGGATGATCTTCTCGCCCAGTAGGCTCCTGGTACGATGCAAACTCACCTCCATGTCAGAGAGCTCGCGCTCCTCCTGGAAGAAAAACGAAAGATCATCAGATCGCGATTCATCGCGAGAAACCTGAATTCCCGAAGTTCGAAACCCGAACTTGGTCGATAAGAATGTACTGTTTTCAAATTTCTGCGGTTTCATCGTAATTTACGAGTAGAAAAGTGTAGAATTCATGTGTAAATTCACATGATTATATAACTATTAAGTTTACAGTTCTTTAATTAGTTCTCTCAAGTTTATTTCACGGGGAAAAAATTTCCGCCGGATAAACCGATTAAATAATGTATCCGATTGTTATTTTTATTGCCCGATCAAATGATGAATATCTTTATCCGATAAAATATCCGATGAAGTTACCGATCACATCTAACCGGAAAATTAGTATATCCGTCGTAATTTTCATCGGATAAAGGTAAGACCTGACCGGGTATATCCGTTTGTTATTTTATAATTAGATTATCCGATCAGTTAAGATCGGATATTTTTGTTCAGTGTATCCAGCAAAAAACTTCTGAAAGACGTCTCAAAGGTATGTAAAGGTATCTAAAAGATGTCTTATTTTTCTCATGTATCTTTTAGACTTCTCTAAGACGACCTTTTAAAATGGATAAATTTGAGAAATTTGTGTCGTCTGAGCTATGGTTGGCCGAATGCAGTTCCGATCTTCTTCGCTCGTAATATCTCGTCAACGTGAAGCCGCGAAAAGTGAAAGTCGAAGGGTATCAACGTCAAGATCAGGCTATCGATCACGTCTTTCCCGATAACGGCGATACCTGCACCAGTTGTTCCAGAGTAGCCCTCGCGCTCCGCTGTTTCCAAGCTCTCTGCCTACCCTGAAAGGCACTTCTCTGTTGTCTGAGCGCCTCGCGAGCTCTCCTCACCGAGTCCCTCTCCACATGGATCCGGTGACGGAAGAACTCTAGCTCCGAAGAGGCGTTCGCCGGCGCTGCAAGAGGTAAGGGCACTGTTGCACTCAACTTTTCGGCCGAAGGTCACGATGTAAGCCCGAGAGTCTCGCAAGCGTTAGAATTGAGCGAAGCCTCTGATGCCGAGATGACGAGAAAGTGGGTGGGTGACGGGGAAGCGGGGTACGTGAAGACAGCGTGCGAAAGCAAAAGAAAGAAACTGGATATGGTGCACTTACGAGCAAGTCGAGGAGTATAAGCCGTTAATCAAAGTAAAGTCTATACAGTCCTACGGAAAAGAAAGGAAATAATTCAAACACATCCTTCGTGATAGTACTCCGTCGGTGGAAATAATAAAAATACGTATTAGAAAATATAGGGCGGTAAAGTCGCGCAAAAATCCGGCTTAGAAACGAATAACCAGACTCCGTATGCCCGAAAAATTATTTATACATTTAGAGTATAAAGATAATAATTAACTATACACTACTGTACGTATGTAACTGTATACAGAGAGAGAGAGAGAGAAAGAGAGAGAAGAGTTCAGTACAGAATCGGTCGATCAGTGATAACTAGACACGTCGATAGAGAAAATAAAGACGAAAGAAGATACCGTAAGAGCGTGTAGTCAGATCTGTATCAAGAATATCACATCAAAGTACACTCGTGTGTATTTACAGTCGCTAAATGTATATATATATATATATATGAAAGAGTACGCAAATCTCTCCTTATCTACAATCTCCCCCGATACCGTAAAATTCGCTGGTTTCGTTGCACAGAGACGGATAAACGTGCACGATAACAAACTCCTATTATCAAAGTTCGGATATCTATCTAAGAGAGAAATATAGCGAAAAGAGGAAGGAACTCGGCCCGCGCGAGGAACAATCTAACAAATCCTCCGGCCGGGTTGTACATCGCGCCCCTCCGAAAGGAGAAGAACGTTTTGTTCCTCGAGACCTCAGAGCTGACCCGACCCGACGTGACCCGACCTGACCTGGTTTGAATCTCGATATTAAACCTTCAGGGGACTCCGCGGAAGGGGTCCCCTCTGCCCTCCCGTTAAAACCGCCGGCGGATCGCGTCGCATGGTAGCTTTAAGACAATCACCTTTATCTTGGAAAGGATATCGCACTGTATAGGCCGTTTCGTTGCTCGGCAGCTGATCGCCGAGGTCCTCCAGCTTCTTCAACTGCTTCCGGATGTTCTCCACGGGGTTCTCCAGATTGTTGTTGTTGCCGCTGGCCGCGTTCGAGCGGGCCGCGCTCGACGCGGCCTTCTTACTGAAGCTCTTCCTCTTCTTCATCATCATCATGTTGACGTTCGTCTCGCTGGCGGTGGTGGTGTCGTCGGACTCAAATTTTGCCGCGCTCTTCGAGCCAACGACGCCGGATGAGGTGGCGGCGACAGCGACGGGGGTGGTGGTGGTGGCGGCGGCGGCGGCGGCAATGGTGGCGGTGGCGGCGGCGGCGGCGGCGGCGGTGGTGGTGGTGGCGATAGTGGCGGTGGTGGCGGTGGTGGTGGTGGTGGCGGCGATAGCGGCGGCGGCAACGATGGTGGTGGCGGCCGCGGGTTTTTGAAACCCCGCCTTCTGACTCCTCGAATTGCTGTCCGGATCGTTTTGCTCTTCGGCCTGTTCGCTCGCGCACTGGCCCTCCTGCGATTTCGCGTTTGTTACCGGGCTCGAACGCGCGTTCCACAGCGGAGTACTGCTGGAGCACGATTTAAGGCCTATAGCCAGACATTAGGGCGAATCGCATGAACATGACGGAGTACCTTCACAGTCCGCTCGTGACCTCGACCGGGGGACGACACGCTACGTCATGTACGCGCCGCTCGACCAACAGGGACCGACGATCGTAGACTGCGAAGGTACTAATGAGAATGATATCGAGAATGGGGCGTGCTACATTCACACATGTGGCGTACCACGACGCGGCAATTAGCGAGAATTTCACCAGTCTCTCCAGCGAGCGTGATTACGTCACAAATCGGGAATATATGTATTCTCTATCAAAAGTTGGCCAGCATTCAGTTTGTCAGCTGAACGGATTTCCAATCCGTCGTCCTTTTTACATCTCGACGGTAAGTCGCGAGACCGAAAGTCTCGCTAATTACAAAGACAGGTTGGGGTGATCACATCAAGAAAGTGAGAGAGAGAGAGAGAGAGAGAGAGAGGGAGAAAAGGGGAATATTAATGAGATGTAACGTGAGAAATGGCATGCTCGTAAATATGTGCTGTACGCCGGGCGTGCACATAATAAGAATCACAGAGACCAGTTATTTGCATATTCGCACGTTGCCGTGTGTTAATCACGAACCAAGTCACTAGGGAAAGTTATATATCTCGATATTGTACAGCAGTTACTCGTGCACTCGCAAAGTCGAAGCAGACTAATAATAAAAAGCAATTTCCACTCAATCTAATCGCACACCGTCGCAATCGTATCATCCGACCTTAATCTCTTCATTTACTCATCATCTCCCTCATTATCATCGAGCGAGAGGAGAGCTTGCGGATTGTTCGAGCCGTGCGTTATTGCGTTATCGCGGACTTCTTCCGGAATTCCGTTGGTCTGCTTCAGCGACAGCGAGTGCTTCAGGACACGTCGGATCGTAAGTGATCGACGGCGCGCTCGTGATGAGAGAACTCACTTTTGTTCCGACGACTCGGTCCTCTCCGTTCTAGTCCGGGTGGATGCCGATCTCTCGGTCTCCGAGGCCGTGGTGTAACCCTCCTTCCTCCTGCTCCTCCTCTCGACCGCGAGGCGAACGTCGTTCTTCAGCTTCATGTACTTCTCCTTGAGCGCTGTGTACTTGTCTTGCAGCAGCCGCTTCTCGCAACGCATCTTCTCGAAGTCGATGCTGTCTTGCTGGAGGGCCCGCTCAGCCTGCTTCCTCGCCTCCTTCTCGGCGTCCCGCGCGAAATCCGCGCGGATCTCCTCCAACCGTTCCTTGTACATTTTGCGAGCGAGAGCCTCCTGAAATCACAGCCGAGACGGATTGGCTACGTGCGCGAAAGATATCAAGAAAATAGAAATTACCGTACATTTCCGTCACCGTCACGTTTAATGCTCGGATTGAATACTCACATCCATCCTGAAGTCACGGAGAATCTCGGCTAGGCACTGATCGTGATCTTCGGTGAACTTTGTGATTTTTTCCCGTTGCTGCATTCTCAGCTCGTTCCGCAAGTCCTCGAGTTCCTTCTCCAGTTCCTTCTTCATCGCATCGATCTTCTCAGAGTGCTGTTTCTTCAGCTCGTATTCGTTCAGCTTCGCGAGCTTCTCTTCGCCGAGATCGCGCTCGTGCTCGTCCTCCAGCTTGCCCATCTCCTGATTCCGCAGCTCCAGAAGCTCCCTCTTCCTCTCGTCGAGTTCCGTTTTCAGATTGGACAATATCTCTTGTCGTTCTTTCTCGTAACATACCTCCAGTTCCGCGCGGACCTTCTTCAGGTTCTCTATTCTGACCTCGTCCATTTCAGTGATCAACGCTTGAATCTCCTGTTCTTCCTGTGAAAAAAACGCGCGACAAGTTTTCGACACGATCTGTTTTCGAGTCTCGCTTTAGATCCACGAAACGAGTTGTATCTTGAATTTTTATGAAAAATTACGGAATGCAAACAAACGCTTGCAGAATCGTGCATTTCTATTATATCACGGATAATTATCGTCTCGATGTTCTACGCGTCTATAAAACGCAAATTAGATCTAGAAAATTCATAACCAAAATCTAACAAAATATAGTGAAAAAATAGATTCAATCAAATTAATAAAAATCGTGACGTGTGATCATATCTTTTCTGATAAGTTTCACATAAGTTACATCGCGAATATCCGGCATTACGAAAGTCGAAGAATACCTTCCGAGCCATCTCCTGCTTGACTTCCTCCAGCCTCTGGTTCCAGAACTGCTGCAGCAGGATCTTCTGCTGCACGAAGTTCTCCTCGAGCTCCTTCTTCTTCTCCTGCAGCTTGACCTCGAGCTCGATCTTGAAAGCTTCGATCTCCTTTTCATTCTCCCGATTCATCTTCATCTTCATGTCATCGATGCTGCGCGAATACTCGAGTTTTGGTCGTACGAACCGCTCTTTCTTCGCGATCACATAATCCTGATTGATCTTAGACATGTCCGAGGACTCGTCGTCTTCGAGCTGACGATTCGACAGACGGTTGGCCGCGCGTGTCGCTTTCTCGATGATCGACCTCGTGCGGCGCATCTCCTCCAGAAGACTAGCGGAATCGCTGCTCTTCACGGCGCTGTCGCTCTCGCTCTTCGACACCAAGTCGATGTTCTTCACCTTCTCGAACTTGTTCGGCAGATAATCAAGACTATTATCCCTCTCCAGACTGTCCTTCGTCATCTGGCTGCGGTGCTCGTTCTCCGAGACGTTCTGCACGAGGAACCGCCTGCCGACTAACTTCGCGTTCTTCGACACGGTCTCGATCTTCTCCAAGGACAAACGCCGCCTGCCGGCCTCCGGCTCCTCCTTGTCCCTCTGCTCCTTCTCATTGGAATAGTTGTCCTTGTTGTTGTCGTCGTCGTCGTTGTTGTCGTCCTCCAGACTCGGCGGATCCGGCTTCAGCGGCGACAAAATCGAACTGGTGATTTTATTGCTGACCACCGCCGATATCCGAAGATTTTGATCTTCGGACTCGGACTCCCAGTCGTCCTCGGATTCTGAATACGTGAACTTGATGTCGATCTCCTTCTCCAGGTCGAAGCGCACGCTCTTGCGTTCCTCGTCCAACGGTCTGTCCTCTACCCACAATTGAAGCAACGCTCTGTAAGTCCAGCTCTCGTCGATTCGTTATGAATATACGAGATCTCGAACGATTACCGTCGCGATGAATTTGACAATACATCGCGCGGACGAGTACCGGCTCGCCCTTACGAATTGTGCATGACATTACACGCTAAACTTACCGTCTTCCAATTGTTTCTCCCTCAGAATGGACTTGGGTCGGTCGCCGATGACGGCGTTGTTGCTCTCATCGGAGATGACCAACGCCCGGAAGTCCTCGAGTTTACCGCCGTCTTGGCTAGGTGTGGTGTCCCTGCTCCTGTTGCTCTTCAGAAACATCGATCCCCCGCCGCTGAGAGTCAGCTCCTTCTGTTGACCCAACTGGCTCGGGTGCTTCTCCTTGTCGAACTTCTCCAGCCGCTCCGGTCGGGCGAGCGTGCTGGCGCTGAGCTTGTCGATGTCGATTATGTTCTCCTCGGAGCTGAACTTGCTGGACAACTGCTCCCAGTCTTTCTCGTGCCACGGGCTCAACGACTCCGATCTCTTCAGCACCTCCTTCAGATCGAGCTCTTTTTTCACGGGCGTCGCGCTCGTCGTGGTCGTAGCCGTGGTCGTCGTCGTCGAGATCGTGCCAGTCGTCTCCAGGAGCTTCGGGCACTCGTAGAACCGCGGGTCCTGGAATCTCAGGTTGGTATAATCCCTGGCGGCCCGATCGCTCGACAGGGACATCATGTCGGATTTCGAGTCGCTCTCCCGTCTGGACTGGAGTCTGTCGAAGGACGAAGGCCGTTCCTTTTTCCGCGACGAACCGTCGGCCTTCTCGACCTTCCGCAGAGGCGCCAGTTTCATCGGAATCTTGGTGCCCGCCATGCCGGGCTTGGGATGGCTGCTGGTCTCCTTGGAGGCGGTGCTGGAAGTGGTGGTGGTGTTGGTGGTTTCTTTCGGGACGGCGGTCTCCTTCGAGGTGATGGTCTCCTTCGGCAAGGTCGCGTCCTCATGAGACTCGAGATCCTTCGCTGTGGTCTTGGAATCTTCCTCTGCGGCATCGGAAATATTTCAGTTCTATCGTCGGTTTGTCTGTTTCTCCGACATAGTTTTTTGTCAGCATTTACGAATTTCTCGCAACGGATGCGTCCAAGTAGAGAAACCGACCGGCCGGGATAAATAAGAGGAACGCCGCTGGAGCGGAGCGGATAGAGTTTACGCAGAGTAAACGTAAAAATAACACGAAGAGAAAAATTTTCCCGTGCAAAATAAACGAGGAGACACTGTTTATACGTCGCGAATGCCGCGGACGATCGTTCTTCACGCCGGAGCGCGCCGTCGCTCGATCGAAGTTTCGCTCGCGAAAACGCGAGAAGAAACTATGCACGTCTGGACGGCGACGGCGAGGTTCGATTACGTAAAAAACTGAAACGTGTGTTCCGAGCTAATCGGTATAATTATTACGAAAAATGAGGTGCGACGTAACGGTTCCAAGTTCCATACTTCAAGGTCTGTTATTCATTTACGTAACGTCTACAAACTGCAAGACATCGAGAGTGAATATTGAGAGATTAGGAAGTCTCGTGAATTTCTTTATTATGATTTACGAAAATTTACACGAATGCACACGTGAGACGAAAGAACGGAATGAAAAAATAAAAGATCTCGTACAAAAAAAATAAAAGAAAATAAAAATAACAAAAACATAATAATAACAAAAACATAATAATAATAAAAAAAATAATAATAAATAAAAAATATACATATATATTCACACAACAATAACAGGACTTATCCGTTTCATGAAGTCATCGTGGTTGCGATATTGAAATTAAGAATGCAAAAATTTTACAACAAGTTTTTTCCAATCTTACGCATGCGTCTCTAAGGTAATTCACGTGTTATATTGGGACGCGTGAAAAAATCGACTGATATGACACACATCATCCGAATTATATCTTCTCGCGTTCATCGCGATCATCGTATCTTTCAATTTCTCATTATCGCGAGTGTTTTCGTGTGATACGTGTTTACCAACTCGCGATAAGCACCCGATTGATAATCTCCAAGATATTTCGAGTGCTGAATCCACACATTTTTTTACATTTACGTGCATTCATTTCAACCCCGCCTCGGAAGAATTGTTTAATAAAAGAAATCAATATAAAGCGTTTGATAAATTCAAATTTTCTAATTTAATGTATCGAAGTGTTATCCTAAAAAAATGTATACAATAACTATTATCACCTTGAATACCTTCGAAATTATGAGAGTAAAAAAAAATGTAGCTAACAGAAACTATACGATACAAAAGCGATTGTTTTAAGATGCTTTTTTCTAGGTGGAGTAGCTGCAAAGAACTGAAGGTCACTTTTATTTTTTTTAATGATATTATGTAGATTTTTCTAATATAAGTCGATTCTTATGTTCATTCTATGTACCAAAGTATTAAGGTAAGATCATCGAATGGTGAATATTTTCCGGGGATATTTTCCTTTTTATTCTGATACTTAATGCATACACAAGAAATGAAATTTCTTACAAAATATTCAGTTTACGATAATATCACTTTAACACGTAGAATGACAGATGGAATCGATCGTTGCAAGCAAACGTAGAGGAACCTAAATAAAAATTCGTTGTATCTCGCAAACTCATCGGTATACCAATGTGCAATGATTAATATAAATAATCGATTTCTCTCATATTATTATGCACATAAATGTTAAAGTGCCGTTACGGAAAAATAAATACTTTATGAGATATTTCATATTTTCCACTGAAAAGTATCATTGGCATCCTTATTCTCAAGAGAGAACTATCGCGGAATACATAAATAAAAATTGTGGAACGGCCTTGATCGTGCTATTTGTCGCCCGGAGAACCCTGAAGGAGGGGTCTTAACGGCGCAGGGAGGAGAATTTCTCACCGTTATCCCCGATTAGTTTTCGAGAAAACGAGCCGTGACGCGTCTCGCGCGAGCCCTCCTATAAATCGAGAAGCATTAGACCTTCGGCGGCGGCCGCATTACTCGTCGGCCGATACTTTGCGCGGAAGGATCTAAAAATACGGGCGCGTCTCTCTCTCTCTCTCTCTCTCGCGAAGTTTGACGAAAAGCCAGAAGCGCATATTATGTACACTGCCAAGTCGCACGATCCTCGCTGATCCATTACCCGGCGGCAGGTCCCGACGACGCGCGCGAAACAACGCCGAGCGTGTTAGACAGCGAGCGTGCGACACGCGCGATTAACGACACGTGGCGGGCGCGACTCGCGAATTAAATTACTCGACCACGCGGGAAACCGAAATAGTACATTCACGACGAGAGGGAGAAACAGCAGGAACGCGGAAAACGGCATTGCGTCACATCGTTGCGTTACGTCGTTGCGTTATGTGTTTAATTGCAATAACACAGGCGAGACGCGGACGACGACGAGAGGATCGGCGGCTAATCGAGCCGGTCATCGCGTGAGAGACACGAGAGGACACGTGTCGTGAGAAGGAGCTTCCTCCGCGCGCGATAGCGGACAGGGAAATATCGTATTATTAGATTACTTATTATTAGATTTCTCATTAGACTCGCCGTATGAAAATAAATTATTTTCTCGTGCGAGCGAGACACGCCGCCGGCACGCTCTTTCGCGTAATATGTCGCTCGCGGATTCAGTACGACACGCGCTGCTCCCGAAAAATGAAGAAGCCGCCTGCTCTTGATTATCCGTCTGAAAGAGCCGAGGGACTCTCGCGGTCTCATTAAAAATCCCTTCAAAGCGTTATTTCTGGCCTTTCAAGAGTACCGCAAGTACTCCCTTACTCGCATCGCGCGCCTGCCCCGGCAGGAGGGACGTATGACGCGAGGAAGGTGCGAACGGCCGTGGGAGGTAATAATCTCCCGATCGTCGCCGCTGTCATCTCATCCTCGCGATCGGGAAAGCGAAGAGCGTTCGAATGCGTACCGAGACTCATTTGCCGCTTGCCGGCTCTCGCCTGTTCCACGAGCTTCCTGTAGACCTCGTCCAGCGGATGCTCCCAAGAGGTGTAACCGGTGGATGTCTGGTAATAATACCAGGCACCGTAGGCCTCGTGGAAACACGGAGACCAGCCCTTGGGCAGGGCCGCCATGAGACCCTCGCGCGCCAGGTCGAGAAGGTGTGGTTCCGCATCAGGATCAATTCCCAGACGTTTCGCATAATCGAGCAGTTCTGGAAACACGTGGTCGCTCGTTAATTAATCCTACCGATGTAATACGTCGTCGTCGAATGAACGAGGAATCATTGCTGGTTGACAAGTCGTTAATTATTTCGGGGATGGTGAGGTGAAGGGTGTAATGATAGATGCTCGTCAGCAGAGGGAAGTAATTCAGCTGGAAATAAATTAAGTAAACTTCGGTTGTATTACGTGGGCAGCTAATGTATTACCTGTGGGAGCTAACTGTTTTTAACGATGAGAGTGAATCCTTCCCCAAGTGGCACATGTTGGTTTCATATATGCTCTTACGTAATGTAATGCTTAATGTAACGTTTTAAACGTATGTAATGTTTCATTATGTACGTTTCGAAAACGTATGTGAAACTAACTAACTAGGTTTTTCCTCTCCGTGAAACCCACGGATTACGCAATATTACTTTGCTTCTATCATGAAAATTCATGTTCTAGAACGAGTGCAAATAAGATATCGCGCGAGGAAAAACGTAAGCAAGAGAGGCGTGTCCACAAATATTCAAGAAACTTAAGACTGTCGATGCTGTTTAACTTCAAAATAAAGGGTCTATCCATTACAGTAAGAGAACATATTAGAGGTACCCGTTCACAATAAGCACACTGAACGTCAATAAATTTAATTAATATCTAGATTATGTGATAATGAATCACGTTCACGAACAAGGTGGCAATGTTTGTTCAATCTGAAAGAAACGACATTACTTGCGGATACCCCTAACAGAAAGGCATCTCATAATCAAATATATAAAATGTTTGAAAATAATTGCTAAACATCTAATAGGTCGGTAATTGATAAAGGAGCATCGAGAGGAGGGGGAGGAAGAGGAGGAATCGTCGCTTAGCGTTTCTCATTGTATGCGATACGCTCTTGCACTTTTCCAAGAGTCATGCTCTTGCGCCTTTTTTCCGAGTAATTTCCGCTAATGGCTCGTGTATGGATTGCAACTTCTACCGGCGGGGAGATACGGCCGACGAAATACGACTCGATTTCGCGACGGCCGCGTATGAACGCGTTTAAATGAATAGAGATAACCGGTCGAGGGTCGCAAAGTTCTCTCGCTAACTTGTAAAGCGGAATCCTTTTACGTTTTCGCCGTCCTCTTGATTAACAGCGGTATGGAGAAATTCCTGGTACTCGAATTCAAGTCAAAAGCAATTACCCAACAGGAAGGAATATTTTTATCCGGTGGCGCGCGCGGTTTATTAATAATGCCCTTGTAAACTTTAACGGCTCGGAAGTGGATCTCTCCGCGTCTTGCCGCGGCGAGCTCGTGTAAATCGTATAATTCATTGATCACAGTTAACCCGGTTAAAAATGTTAAAGCGCGCAGCCCTGCTGCTGCCTCCGTTCCATGGAAAATACCCCGACAAGATGTGCTTACGGCCATTTAACGCGCTTGTCGTCGGAACAAAGGTGTCGCAGCGTACATGCCGGCGTTATCCCGTCGGCGGAAAAACCGCAAAAAAAGAGTGCGCGTATCGATTGACAATTAATTTTAATGACTGATTAGCGCGCCTCTCTCTCTCTCTCTCTCAACTAGGTCGTGAGTGGAAAAAAGGCGCTCTCTTTCCGATCTCGTCTAGCGTCGAGACTCTCTCGGTGGCGAATCGAACGGGAAACTTTCTTACTCATTTCACCGCCGACAATTCGACGAACGTCATTTTCCTCGAACAACGAGATCCACTAGAAACACGAGGTGTATCGCGTCAACCCGTTAGATTAAAAGCATTCGCTGTATATGCGGAATGATATCATAAGCGAGGCTCCTAAAATTAGATATGCGTAATATCTCTCGTGAGAGGTGAATTTCTCGCTGTCACGAAACGCAAAGAATAATTCCGCCGTGGTATCGCGTCGATAGCTCGCACGTGCATAACGCGCTGCGCGCTTTTGAAACGGCGATCGGGGTCGCGCCGATATTTTGGGTAATTTTTTGGGGGGTGGGAGGGGAGGGAGGATAAATGAAACGGATTAAATCAGGAGCGAAGAAATTTCGATCGATCGCGGCAATTCGCCGATGCCGGTGGGGATATTTCGCGCTATCGATTTTTAATTCGGTCAAATCACGGAATTCGACATCGCGCGACAACGAGAGGCGAATGGAAGC